CATGAAGCCCAACAGAAAACTTAGCACGAACCCCAACCCAGACCTGCACCCTACTCCTGAACAGTAGAGGATTTAAAAAGGAGAAAAGAGCCCTGGCTGGTGTGGCTCAGTGGACTGAGCAACAGCCTACAAACCAAAGGGTCATCGTTGGATTCCCAGTGCAGGGCACATGCCTGGGTTGCGGGCCGGGTCTCCAGTAGGGGGCGCGCAAGAGGCAACCACACATTTATGTTTCTTTCCCTCTATTTTTCCCTCCCTTACCCTCTCTCTAAAAATATGTAAAATCTTTTAAAAAAACACAAAGGAGAAAAGAAATCAAACAGGTCTCACCACACAATACCCCAAATGCCCAGGAAATAATAATAATAATAATAATAAAACAGTTGTCATACCAAGAACTAGGGCAATCACAACTTGAAAAAACAGATAAGCCAAGCTGCCAACGGCGCAGTCCCTCAGATGTTGGATCCTCTGACAAGGATTTGAAAGCAGTAATCGTAAAAACGTTTCCCTGAGCAATTATGAACACTCTTCAAACAAATAAAAATCTCAGCAAGTAAATACAAGATATAAAAAAGAAGCAAAGGGAAACGATAGAACTAAAAGCATAATAATTGAAATGTAAAACTCCGTGGACAAGCTCAGTAGTTAATGAGAGATGAGAGAGGAAAGGAGGAAGGAACCGGTGAACTCAAAGTGGGAGCGATAGAAATTTCCAATCTGAACTGAGAAAAATAGGCTAAAGGGAAAAAGAAAAAGAAAAAAGAACAGTGCTTCAGGAACCTGTGGGACAATAACAAAAAAATCTAACATTTGTATCATTTGAGTCTCAGAAGAGGAGGAAGTGTGGGCTGAAAAAAAGGTTCAGAAGAAAAATGACTGAAAATCATTTTTTAAAGCTCAACTAACCCCAAAAAGAGGCAGGAAAAAAGGAAAAAAGAGGAACAGGAACAGATATAACATATAGAAAACAACTGGCAAGATAGTAGATTTAAATCCAACCACATCACTAGTGACATTAAATGTAAATGGTGTAAGACCCCCAATTAAAAGGCAGAGATGGTTATATTAGGTTAGGAACGAAGACCCAATATATGCAGTCTAAAGTAAGTTCAGTCTAACTGTAAAGACAGATAGATTATAAAATGAAAAGGGTAGAACCTTGGCTGGTGTGGCTCAGATGGTTGGAGCATCATCCTGTAAACTGAAAGGTCGCAGGTTCGATCCCCAGTCAGGACACATGCCTAAGTTGCACGTTCAGTCTCAGTCAGTGCATGTACCAGAGGCAACCGATGTCTTTCTTTCACATCGATGTTTCTCTCCCTCTCTCTCTTCCTCCCTTCCCCTCTCCAAAAATCAATGAGATGTCCTCAGGTGAGGATTAAAAAAAAAAAAGGGTAGAAAAAGCTATACCAAGCAAACACTAATAAAGCAAAAGTGGGGTTACACTAACATCAGACTAAATAGACTTCAGACAAGGAATACAACCAGGAGAGGGTCCCAATTTTTCCACCTCCTCACTGATACTTGCTGTTATCGTCTGTCATTTTATTAGTCATTCTAGTGGGTGTGAAGTATCATTTTCTGTGTTCTGTGTAGTGTGGGCAACTTTGTGATACCACGTGAATAAATCCCCCTATTAATTTTTTCTCTCTGAGCAGTCCGAAAGTTGTATTCTGTCTTCTGTTCAGTGTTCAGTAGCCTGATAGCCAGGATGAGGCAGGGAAGAACTCAGATGAGACTATCTTTTCTAGAATAGAATCCAGTCTTTTTCCTGAGATTTGTCTCAATGCCAACTAACGTTTCCTTCCCCTGGTTTGGAAGTGGATCTCAAAACCCATGGGGGTCATCTTGGGCTTTGGATCCTTTCTCTGGCTCAGTATGGGGTCCCTCAACGCCTCCCCCGCCCCCCCCCACACACATCCATCAAATAGTCAGTGCAGTTGTTTGCTGGCCTCTCCTTGGTCTCTTCCCCTGTCTTTTCACTTCCCTTGGAATAACAGGGAAAACACAAGACTATCACCCTTGTCCCAGTTACTTTGTGTTTCTCTCGCAACGGAGTTCCCGGACTTTGCTGATTCACCAGGACCACTCTGCAGGAGTAGCCTTGCACATCAGACCAGTATTTTTCTTCGCTTACCAGGTTTGGGTGTTTTGGACATTTGATTGCTGTTTTCCGTGTTTGCTGCTGGGCTTGTTTTCGGTGGGAAGGAGGCACCGGTTTTTACTACATTAGGTTCATGTCATTAAGTATTTGGAAAGGAAGATGTGATCCAGCCATATTCTACCATTTTACCTAAAACCCTGGCCATGCTTCTAGGTGTTTAGCTTAGGCCTGGGGAGTCCCCATATTTCATTCATTCATTCATTCATTCATTCATTCACTCACTCACTCAACAGAAGAGCCAGGTAGGGCTCTTGAAGCCGGGCTACAGCCGTGAACCAGTCTTGCTCTCACGAAGCCTCAGTTACGTCCAAGCGTCTCAATCAAAGCTTCCTTAGTTTGCATAGAAGTGTTTTTATAGAAGACAATTCCAATACTTCAAATCTGAGAGTTACACCCAATTTGCCTATAGCATCAACTCACATGCCCTCTAAAGTCCCTGTGACTCTTCACCTTATCAAAGGTGCTGCCATCAGCTGGGGCGTGGCCGGAGGGCAACGCTAGGAGGAGCGAAGCCGGCCCTCATTTCAGCTCTCCCGCTGCGTTTGCGGAGCTGCCCAGACGGCCTGCTGTCCACCCACCGCTATGGGTGAATTACAATCATTTGTACGATCCTTAGCTGATGACGTGCCAGAAACAAATGCAATTCTGGCAGAGAGCATTCTAAAAAGTACAGGGAAACCAAGTTGTGTGGCTCAGGGAAGGCATATTTAAATCTAGGAAGCAGAAGATCTTTTTTTAAAAAAAATCTCTTTTTATAAGCACCATTAACCAGAGTTGTTCCTCAGCAATTTGCAGGAATCCGATTAACAGCGTTATGGCCAATATTTACTCGAAGCCAATTTCTTTGCACTCTCCCCGCCTCCCGCAGCCACCTCCGCTGCGCTTCCAAAGTTCCACCCCAGCGCTTCGATCCTCCCAAGACACCAAGGCATTAACTCGCCCGGCAAATAGGAGCTGCTATGCGCAAGACAATGTGCTGGGGGTGCGGGGTGGGGTGGGGGGGGCACTAGAAATAAGTAATACAGCACCTACCCTGGACGATTTACTGGGGCAAGTGGAACAGCGCAAAGCAACGCATCGCTTCTGAAGATGAAGTAATGACGTATGGCAGGCTGCAGGGGTCAACTCTGAATTTCCAGATCCAGCACGAGGTTGGGGACTGACATGCTCCCCGACCTGTGAACGGTCAGTTCTCTGTCTACCAGCTCCCTTGTCAGAGCTAACCGCTCACGGGAACAGAGCGTAACGGTCAGACCCAAGCATGACATGGCGTTGCCCAGCAGAGGCACGTGGAGTTTGCTCTAAAGATCACACGCACGGCCTAGTGCTGAGTGTAGTTTAAATACTGTTTCTTTTAGGGAATGAGTCCCATCATTCATACATTTGAACTGTGTGTGGAAACCTTCCTTTTCCTGCCCGCCCTGTCTCCGCGGCCACCGGCTCCATGAAATCCTCGACTGCAAGGGTCCCTGATTTGCACACACCCTTTACATCCCAAAGGCTCGTGCCCCCTTGTGAAAGGGTTTTAGGAATGGGGAACAAATTCATGCATTTGTCTCCTTTCATGGGTTCAGCATCTCTCGGCTTTCGCTTCCCAGATGCTGGGGCTTCGCTATTTCACTCAGACCCCAAAGCCATAGTAACGGTGGTCAGTTGTCAAAGGCTGCTACCTACTTCCTCCGTGAGCGCAGTGCACAGCCAGCAGTCCCCACGGCTTTGCGGGCTCCTCCTCGCGTGGTGGCTCCGCAGGGCAATGCTGGATACTCTTCTGCACACAGCTAACTATGGAGGAGAGTCCAGAGAAAACTTTAATTAAGTTTTCAAGGGACCTGCTTCTTTGCCAGAACGGACCTCGTTGAAAGCAGTGCCTGCTCCACCCAGCATCACGTACCCGTGCTGGATAAGAAAGTGTGTTTGTCCTAGAGAAAAAAGGTCCATGCAAACGGGGCTACTCCCAGCCTGAAGCGCTCCTTCGCTCCTTGCTCTGCTCCCGTTTTTTGAGGAAACACAGGCTAACGATTGGCTGGGTCCTGAAACGCAGTGGGAAAGCAACGTAGAGGGGACGCACCACCTAGTGGCCAGCGCTGGAATTGCTACTCAGCTACCAGAAAACACACACCCCTGAGCAGATCTCAAAGGGCAAGGTGTCACCCGAGTGATTTGAGTCCCCTTTCAGGTAAACTGTCATTACTAATCAGGTGAAAAAAATGTGGTTTTGTTCCATGAGATTCATGGAGATATTCTCGAAAAATATTTTATAGCTTCTAGCTCTGATAGGCTGGTTAAATCTGCTCGCTATTAACAGACGCCCAGTTGGAAAGGAAAATGCTGAGCATCGTAAGGTTTCACAAGGAACCTTAGCCAAACCCATTTTGGATTAATAACGCTTTTTCTTTCCAAGAAAGCATCTACAGACTCAAAAACATTCCTTGCACTAAAACACACTCAACACTTCACAGCATGTCAACGAACCAGCCAGCGAGGAATCCAGATGACCCTTGGAACGAGCACTGGGACCCGGCGGGTTCACGGCCGTGCAGACTGTAAGTTCACCCACGCAGTTCAAATGTGTGTTGCTCAGGGGTCACCTGTACTTTCGACCCCTGGCTGGGAGCCCCGGGATTTGCAGGGCTGGCTTAACTTACACGCAGGCTTTCGCCTGCTCAGGGATCAGCGCCCTGACCCCCGTGTTGGCAGGGTCGACTGTGCATCTGTTGGAACGGAGGAAAGACCTAAAAAATAAACATGTGACCTCTTAGTAACCGTTGCTATGCTCACTCAAGATTATCTTTTAATACAGAAAACAAGTCAATCGTGTTTTCTTAAAGCAAGTTCCAATTTTATTCATTTACAGTATTCTTACAACCTTTGCTATTGCGAATAAAATTCAAACCACAGCAACTAGACATGGAAGTTCTACAAGTTTACTTTCAACAGTCACATATAAAGAGCAGACGACATACATGACACTGCACAACTCACAGAGCACTGAGTGTAGGCAGGAAACCTTACTTAGCCGAAGACTAAAAACACTTCCCGCCTTCTGCAGTCGTAGCTGAGAAGCTTTCAAGCCAGGTCATGTTCAGGCCAAGACCCGAGTGAGACCCTCTGACTTAAGCAACGTAAAACTAAAGTCACAGGAATGAAATGTATTTTCAGTCACTGCAGAGTTTGCGCCTCTAGTTTAATTAAGTTTAAATTTTTTCACAGAAAAAAAAAATACATTTAAGGCAAATAAAACCAAATTCCAGATTAGCATCATTCAGTGTTTTTTGTTTTTTTATTTTACCTTCATCAAGGCAGGCAAAGTACAGATGCTGTACATTAAAAACATACAAATATATCATTCACGGCACATCAAATCCTACAGGCAAAGGGGCTTTCTCTAAACACTGCTCCTCGCTGAAGCGCATGGCTGCAGCTAAATGTACAGAGAGCCGTCTGCCGGGCCCACGTAGCCGACTCCGATCAACAAGACATCTATCAGCGTCCATATTCCCAGGCCGCCGAAGCTGAAGAGCTTCCCGAGGCCTTCTCTCCACTGGCCCAGGTAGAAGCGGTCCGCTCCGAACCCGCCGAGCGTGATGCTGTAACACCAAACGGGACTGGAATCCACCAGACGTCCCCCGACCCCCCCTAAGCCAGGTGTGATCCCATGACACCGCTAAGTCACACCTGGGAAAGGCTCTGAAATGATCCTAGCTCTCTGTGAGAACACAAGGACCATTTCACAGTGTACAACACCAAATGTGTATTTTCGATCCTTGCTGGGGACCCGCCTGTGCCAAGGGCTGACTTTAAGTCACGTGCGGATTTTTGACTGTGTGGGTGGTTGGCGCCCTGACCCCCGTGCTGTTCAAAGGTCAGCTGTAATCAGGGGCCAAAAGACTGTTGAAATGTTCAAGGTAAACATACAATCTTTACCTGGAATGAAAGCTAAGGTTTCTCTTTTAAAGAAAAGTAACGGATCCCTGCATTTTAACCTTGAAGACGGCCCATCCCTGAGAGCACAGCACGAGCGGTGCCAGGAGCTGGCATCACCAGGCAGCCCCGCCCCGGGCCGCGGTGGCAGACTTGCGGTCACTCACCTCCAAAAGTTTAGTGTCAGGACGAAATGACTTTTAAGGTGCCTTCCAATGCTAAGACCTAACGCTCTTGGGATAACTTCTCGTTGGATTTCTTTTAAAGTTTTTACGATGGAAAATTTCAGAATGTGTACAAGTAGAGAGTCAAGAGAGCAGGACCCATGACTCAGCTGCAACAATAGCGCCACTTGGCCAGCCCTGGCTAGTCTGTCCCCACCCCCTCCTCCCCCCCCCGCCCCGCCCCCAGAACACTCTGGAGCAAACCCTGGACACTATCGCACTCCCAGAAGATTCCGCAAGAAACAACGATGACGAGTTTTCAGCAGAACGCTATTCTCACTTTGCAAAAGTCAGTTGTTAGCTGTACTGTGGTCGTTTAAGATGTGAGCAACACGGGAGGAAACTGGGTGAGGGACAGACAGGAACTCTCTAGCTCTGCAAGTTTTCTGTAAGTCTAAAATTATCCCAAAATAAAAAGTTTATTTAACAAAAAAAGTTGTCAGGGCTCCTTTGAACTGTGGCTGATGAAGCGGTGGACAGGCGTGAAGTCGCGCTGTCGCTGTACGTCCTCGCCCACCCTGGACTCTGCTCTTACTTCCCAGTGACACCCTCCTGCCGGCAGTACCCTCCTCACCCCCCGCAGGCCCCGACACAGCGATGTGCAACAAGGGGCGACCGGCCACATCGGGCGGGGAGGGAAGCGCTGCTGGCACCCATTGAGGAGAGCCCACAAGAGCAGCTGAACGCCCTGGTAGGCACGGGATGCGCCCACCACCAAGGAGTCCCTGGCCCCAGTGTCCACAGCGCCGAGGCTGAGGACCCCTGCCCGCGTCACGCCGCGGCCCCCGGCTCTCCGGCTCTGACTCCAAACCTTCGACCGGAGACGGCACAGCTTTTGAGTTAGTGACTCACTTCGCCGCATCCCGCCAGCCCTTCTCTCTGGGGGGGGGAAGAACGGGCACAATTTCCCCCCCTCAAACTGCTGAAGAGTTTAACAAATACAAGTACCTTTCTATGTGAAAACACGAAGTCTATAATTATTTCCGGATGGTGTAATTCTAGGTGACTTTTAATGTTTTTCCTTGTCATTTTCACTTTTTCCAGCGTTCAGCATTTATGCATGTATCATTTTTTATAAGGTTACTAAAGTTAAAAACACACAGCATAAATCTACCTACTGTTACTTTGCATGTATAATGCGCACTCTTTTGCCCAAATTTTTGAGGGAAGAGTAAGGATGCACATTATACATGGGGATAACAATTATACGCCATGGGTACAATGCGCACAAAACTGCTGGTACGCATTATACGCGGGAGCACATTATATACAGCAAAATATAGTATATTACAATAAATAGTAGACAGTATTTACTGAGTCACGGTATGTTCGAGATGGGAAACTCAGACCAGTACTAATGAGCTATAATGATGACTCAGTTAAGTCATGCGCAGCCTTCTTGGGAGAAAAGTTAACTTGCTGCCATTAAATTCCATGAAGGTATTGGTCTGAGTACCTAAGGAGCTCCCACAGCTGTTTCCTCGGGTCTGTGGGACGCGTGGTAGGATCTAAGTGAAGGAGGAGCTTGTCTGAGTTCAACATCTGGAAGAGTCCACCGATCCCAACAAAATCCCAACGGCACCTTTAGCTTATTAGTAAGTAACAAGCTCACCTCAGAGCCAGGGCAGTAGACCACTTATAGCCTCCGGTCCAATTGCAGTAGAGCATTTTCGGGAACGTTCGGTTACCTTTAAAAAAGGGGAAACAACTCCATTAGAAACACGGGTATAAAAATACTGTTACACAGAGACTTAACTGTAACTGGTGGCCTTGTAATGAAAAGTCTACAAAGTCGACCCTCCTTACAACAATGTTCACTACAGCGAAAGGTGAAAAGACAGACCTTCCTGTCTCTGGGCACAGACTGGGTATTGGAATCAGTTAAGTAGAGGCTGCAGCAGGAAGGCTGGGAAAGGCCCCGCCAGCCACCAGGACCTGGCAGGTGGAGGGCGAAGACGCCGGCACCCCGCTGAGACAGGCCCGTCAGGCTGCGGGACGGGGAGGGAGCCCAGGCCGCGCGCACGGAAACCTTCCACGGAACAAAGGGTCCTGAGGCGACGCATGGAAGAACGTGGGCCGGGACCCGCCTCGCACCGCAGACCAGAGCCCGCTGCAGGCGGTCACTCACCTAAAGGTGTGAAAGGCCGAACTCACACCTTTATAAGATGAGAAATTATTTCCACCAGCCTGGAGTAAGAAAGGATTTCTTACAACAAAAAGGGGATACTAATAACCAACTAGTTCAAATTTCAAGTCCTGTTCATCCAAAGATACCAAAAATCAAAGCAGAAAAAGAAGTTAAAAACCTGGGAGAGGATTTTAGGGATACCAAAACGTTAGTATCCAACATATAAAAGAATGCCTCAGAATCTTTAAGAAAAAGACAAAACTTAGGGATAACAACTATGGGAGAGGATGTGGATGGCCCAGAACAGTTCTGGAGCCGGTGGGACACAAGCCGATGACCTGTCCTGGAAAGCGACACAGGCCAGAGAGCTTGTGCCAGGCCAGCTCCTGCCCGCGTGCAACCAGGAGCCACGGGCAAACATTTTAACGGCCGCACGATCTGTAAGATCAAGAGAGATCACTAATCCAAACACGCGGGAGAATGAATAAACAATGACACAATCTTACAAAGGATTATTATTCAGAAGCTAAAAGGAAAAAGAAAAAAAAGGAAGCGAAGGCGCATCAATGAATCCTAGAGCCAGAATGTTGAGAAGGAAAAAGAAAGTCCCGGGAGACGGTAAACTGGCTAGTATTTTATACAATTCTAAACCATGTACCGCTGAGTAATCTACTGTATCTCATGACACAAATGTGACAGAGCCAAGTAATTTAAAGAGAAGGAAGTGGGATGACAACAAAATTCAAAAGGGCAGGGACCTCTGAGGGATCTAAGCCCTGCATTGGTTGTTACTTAGGTGAAAGTCAATGACAGTAGGTCAGACTTTATACCTGACGGATTTTTTCTTGGTTTATCAAATACGGCATTTGGAAAGATAAGTGCATTGCAAATGTTCTGGATTTTTTTTTTAGTTCCCTGAGTTTATGAAGGAGGTTTGGCATAACTCCAAGGTGCTGATGAATGCTTCCAGTGAAATAATTTAAACTTATTTTCCGACTTCCTGAGTCAGGCCCCAGAAGCGAGCTTATAGGACAGTCTCTGGCTGCCCCGCTGCGCGGCGTCCGGGGACTCACCCAGGCAGTGCACGTGGTCCCGCACCGTGCAGTTGGCGGTGTAGCGCTGCCGGGGACAGGACACCGTCATGCAGGTGGTGGAGTTGGAGCACTCGTATTCGGTTTCGGGCAGCTGCCAGCAGAACCTGCAGGTCATGTTGATGACGAAGTTCTTTTGCGACCTGAAGTCCTGATCCTACGGAGCAAAGCACACAGAATTCATCCATCACAACAGAGTCAGTGGCAGCTCATTAACATGTCAAGGAAGCTACACAGTCACACGGCACGGGTGTGTAAAATACTTTATGATCAGGTGGGAAGTGGCGAGAAAACAGGTACCACGCCATTACGTATACAAAACAAATGTATGCGGTGTGATCCTATACTCGTAACAATATGCACCCAAATATATATACCTAAGAAAAAAATATCTAGAGGAATTCACATCAAAACCATGAAGCTGATTTCGGGGTGGTGAGATTAGACTGTCACTTGTACCTGGCTACATCTATAATAAGGAGCATGTGCACTTTTGTACAGGACAAAAGAAAGCTTCTTTAGTAAAGCCAGAGAGTCACAAAGAGCTGAAAGGACGGATGAGGACATCTGTTCGAGGGCGCTGGGCTCCAAGTCAGGGGAGAACCCAGGACCCCAGCCTCCAGGGGACACTCCTAGAAGCACCACACATGCGGCTGCCAGCCCCAAATCCTCCCGGATGTCACCTGCCCGCCGTCCAGGCGGCTGCTGCTGCCGCCGCCGCTCCCCTGGGCACATCCCCCACACGCAGGCCCAGAAAATCTCTCCACTTAGAACCATGTGTACAGCCTCAGCAAGTGTTCACTGTTGGCCCTCAGCTTTTGAGACCAGGCTTTTTCATTTCAATTTTAAAAGTCATTATTGTTTTCTAGCACATGCCCTCCGTAAGTTGCACATTTGGAAATTACAGAAAAAAAAACAACCTGTCACCTCTCCGGAAGACCCACTTTTAATCTGATTTCATCTTTTAATTCTGTAATGTAAATTTACAGAAGCACAATTCTACTGAAAGCATTTTGCATCCTTTTTACTGCCACTTGGCATTATATTGTAATATATTGTTCAAAATCACTTTGAAATACTTATACCATAACCTCTGGAAGTTCTCATCCTTACCAACTGTTTTTTAATCCATGCAAACAAAGCTGCTTTTTTGGATAGCATCCCAAACTGGGTAAGACGCCACTTGCTCTGGGCCATACTATTGTAAACATCTGCAGATTTCTAGTGATGCAATTGTAACACACATTTCCTATCAATTGTTTTTTAAACTAGTTAATACACAAACCGTGGTACCAATTCCCAAGACAGGGCTGGAGCATGCGGGGGAAGCCGGCCCTGCCCAGCACCGAGAGCTGCCTACCATCTTCAAGGGAGCCCTTTCTATGCCTGGACACATTCCTTTCTTTAAAATTTCACTTTCCCGCTGATGTTTCCCTTTCACTTAATTCTGCCGATATCCTTATGTATCTCTAGAGCTGCCTAGTTCTTTGTAGTAGCTGCAAGGCATTTATTTCACTCCACAGTGAACCGTGCACTAAACAGTTCTCTCCTGGACATTAAGCTTGTTTCAAATCCCTCGCTTAGGTGGGCAGCGCGGCTGAGGATCTCCTCGGGCACACTGATCTGCATCCGCACGCACTGTCTGTAAGGTAAGTTCCCAGACGTGGACTTGCTGGCCTAAAAGCTACGTGCATCTGTGAGTTTCGCAGGGGCCACACGCTGCCCAGGACAGGGTGGCCCGTCTGCCCGCACACGAACAAGATGAGTCACTTCCACCCTCGCACTCAGTGTCACCAAACATCCCCCCACGAGCCTCCCGAATATAACAGGTAAAAACCACATTGTGTACTTCTTTCATTATAAGGAAGATTAAACATTTTTTTCATGTGTTGAAAGTCCATTTGTGCTTCCTTTTTAGGAACCGCCTGCTGGTGCCTTGATACCATTTTTCTACAGGGCTGTCATCTTTTCTCGCTGGCTCTTAGGAAATCTTTTTATATTACAGGTGTTAGTGCATTATTTGTAATGGTTAGAAAAGCTTTCTCCTAGCTTCTCATTTATCTTTTGCCTTTATGCCTCTTTAGATCATGCAGAGATCTCTCATTTTCAGTAGTCCAATACTTTCTTTCTTTTATGGCTTCTAAATTTTATTTTATGCTCAGAAAAATATTCCCCACCTTGAGATTTGAACAAGATATAGCTCATGATTTCTCTAGTACCCTGTGCTTGCATTCTTTTCCACATTTCCTACTTGATCTAACTGTGATTTACTTTGGACAAGACAGGGATGCGGCTTTTTTCTAGAGAGCCACCCAGGCCTCCCATTTACTGAATCCTTCCTCTGACCACAGAGGAGCACAGACGCCTTCAAAAGCTCATCTGTGGTCAAAAGACCTGTTGCCTTCCGCTCGGGGAAGGAGCTGCCCTCGTGGCCAACACAGAGCCCATGGAAGGCTTCGCTCCTGCTGCAGCAGGAGCACTAGCAAGGCACGCGGCGCGCCCTTCCCGCCGAGCACGCTTCCAGCTGACGCTGACTGGCTGGACAGCTGCCACTGTCCCCGGAGCAGCAGCAACTGCACACAGAAGGGGCTCCAGGGTTTTCACATTTCCGTCTATTTATATACGTAACAGGGTCCTCATACAATAATGGCCGTGACGGGTGTCGCCCGGGGGAAGAGTCCCCTGGTCCGAGAGTCCCCGGCAATGGGCACAGAGAGGGGCTGGAGAGTTTACTACTTTCTGTTAATCTGCAGTTCAAAGTGAGAGGGGGGTGGGGACGGGGGCAGGGCGCAGCACAGGGAGACAGGATCTGTCTGTGTGCACGTGAGGGCTGTGGATTATTTCTTCCTGAAGCACCAACCTATTCACCCAGAAGGGACCCTAGAGACTGCTGCGTAACAAATAAGAAGACATGACTTGCCTTGGATCGCCTGGCAACGGCGGTGCCAGGACCTCCGGCCCTGGACAGTGAATTCACATTAATGCCCTGTTGCCCTTAATGAAGAAGGCACGACCCGCCAGACCCTCCTGGGGCAGATTTCAAATGCCACCCCTGAGGACAGGCACCTGCTACTACACAGGCCTCCCCAGGTGTCACAGCCAGGGAGTGAGGACTCCACCAGGGACCGAGACCTAGGAGTTCAGAGACCCCCCCTCCCCCAAGACTTGTCATCTCTCTGCCTTTGTTTGTTATTTGTCTTCTCCTCTGCTATTTTCCACTACATAAAACAGCTGGTATTTGAACACTTAAAGAAGGAAGCAATTGAGAACCATGTCTTGTTCAATAGCCAGTGTGGGGAGACAAATGTTAAAGAAGCTGAGGCAAACAACAAAGGAAGCTATTTCTGGAAACGTTCCCCTTAGGCAGCAAGTTCTCCAGTTTTTGCTAAGTGCCTACGATGCGCCAGACACGCAATACACGTCATTTTTGAAAACCTTCAAACAAGTTTAGCCATTAGGTCAGCAGGGAGAAAATGCTATTTAAGACACAGCAACAAAGATGGCCTGACAATTCCTAGGCAGCCACGAAGTCTATCTGGGAATTAGCTCAATGTTCCAGTGCGCTTCCAAGGGTAACATCCGTATGTGAAAATAGCAAATCCGTAAGTTTACAAAAACTACACTTGGACACTGAGCCCATAAAATAGCACTTCCCCTTTGCAGTGAAGCCTCCGCACCCCCTTCCCTGATGCTAGGCTTCAGGAGAATCACAGAAGTGCCCAGGGCTGGAGGGAACTTCCCAACCCAGCTCTTGGCAGACCAAGTCCCAAAAAACTGCAGGGGGCGGGGGCGGACCTTGCTCACACAGGTGAAGGAAACGCTCGAGTTGCTGGCCAAAGGAAATCAGGAAAAGAGGACACGGTGCAGAAACTGCTTCTTCTTCCGCCACCACTTCCCAAAAAGCGTTCCACGGAGACACTAGGAAAAGCTGTTGTCGGCTGGGCCACTTGTGGAAAAATGTGTGGCTTCCTAAGTCTCCCTGACCTGCGTCATCCAGCAGGTCCGGGGCTCCCTGTGGGAGCCTGCCCGCGCCCGCCCCCAACAGGCCCCCAGGCAGGCGGCTCTAAGGCAGGTCTCCCTCGAGCGCTCCCTCAGAAACACCTACTGCGAAGGCCATTCTACGCGCCTTCCCATCTGTCAAAGCGCCAGAGATGGGACGTAGGTACAATGATTCCAACGGGGTCGATTCTCATGGGCGAGTCGGTACACTCAGGCTTTTTCTGTTTCTGACTTTCTGTAAGAAGTGCTTCACGTTATCCCTATATCAAAAAGCTGCCGCTCTCGCAACTATACCTCACTTGGAAATGGAAGCTCCGGTCTTTGGAGAGAGGTGACTTTGATCCTAAAATATTACTTATGAAACGCAGGCACTTTTGTTTAGAATGCCCCCCCCACCCCCCGCTCAAGCCTAGGCTGGCCCGGTAACTCCAGGGTCACAAGGTGTTTATTTAGAATAAGGAAAGGACGGTACTTACAACACAGGTGACAGAAGGTTTGACAGTGCAGTCAAAAGTGGCAGGCTTCCCATAGACGCAGGAGAAGTTTGTCTGGCATTCTATACAGTCCGCAGGGAGTCGGCTGCACAAGCCGTTGCTTGGACACTTCATCATGTAAGGTGGGATGTCGGTACTTTCTGGAAGGAGGAAGCGAGAAGCTTATTTTCTTAAAACACTGATAAAAAAATTTTTTTCTAAAGTTACAGGGCACAATCATTAGCAATGAGATGTGACGCTGGAATGGAAACAGCAGAGCTGGGGACAGACACCTGCAACTCAAGAGTTCTGCCACCAGCCAGCTGTGGGACTTTATGACCAGCTTAGCAGCTAAAAAAAAGTATTTAATAACTGCTCCAAAGTGACCATAAAACTTAAAGGTGCTTATGTATATACAACGTCTATCTAGTGCTAGGTATAAGTGAGGGCCTCAAAAAATCAACCATGTTACCAGATGAAAAAACTAAGGCTTAGGGATGGTAGGGTTTGTTCAAAGTCACAGATGGAATGGCAAACTAGAACCAGAACCCGCATCTCTCAGGTTCCAATCCCATATTCTTTTCATTCAAACTCACTGATTTGGAAGTGAAGCCAGTGACCCACTAACTGAATTCATCCGTACAAAAGGGCACCAGCTGTAGAAAACGTCTACTGTCATTGCTCGACCTTGCCACTTCAAGAAGCCATGACTTGCTAATGACATTTACAGTTTCATACCACCAAAAGTTCAAAATAGGTTTCTATATTAGCAACTTGTTCAGTGGGTTGCAGTTTGTTTCCCAGCCAACCCGGCCAGGAGTACAATGTATTTCTATCAGCTGAGAGAGGATCAAAATTCCAAGTATTTTTAAGAGGAAGAGAAGCCTCTTGTTTTGTTCTGAGAAACTTTCAAAAAGGGTAGAAAATTCTCACGCTGTCCCTATAAAAATAACCTATGTTTAAATTCAAGTATGCTGCTGTTTTCTCGCTGTCTCTTACATCCAAATTACAATCTGCAAAATACCTCTCAAGGGATGAAACTGTGGAAACAAAGGTTCAGTTTAGCAAAACACACTAATACTCATTTAAAACCGGTCGGTCTGTCTTTAAGTCACCGCAGCCGGTGAGCAATTCTACAAAATACCAGTTTCCTTTTCTTTTGTTCCTATGACTTTGCGGCTGGAAGGTGGGCACTTAGGATCACAGAGCCGAAAAGACTCCAGAGGGCCAGGCTAACCACAGCACCTTAATGGTGAGAAAACCAAAGCCCAAATGGGTGAATAATTCGTTCAAGCTCCCAGTAGCACAACTGGACCTAGACTCCAAGTCTCTGTCTGTCCCAGTGTGATCCTTCCATTTCAAGCGGCCTTGGGGGGTGCCTTTAATACCCATCAGCAACAGCGGTTAGTAAGTAGAAGAAATTTCCTGAAGGGAAAGAAGTACTAGTTGAGGGTTATCTTGATGGAGCGAAACAATAATAGAAATAAAAAGATGGAAATGAAGAGCATGGGACTGTCCAAAGGTATCAAATTAGCAACGGTCTGCAGTAAATATCTATCTGTCCTTAGTTCATGTAATCTAAAATGCAATGAATAAAGTATTCAAAAAAAATGGAAAGTGATTTCATATACTAAAAGAAATCTTATCCAAAAAAGAGAGGGCTAGCCCACTAGATATAAGTACACATTTACTAGAATAGAAAATGTCTAGTACCTGCTGCCCTGGGAACTACCGTGAAAGTACGTGTTGGGCCCGGGTCCCTTATTGACTGAGCCAGCGGCTGCGAATGCTCTAAATTTAAGGATCCTACAATTAGAGAAACACGTTATCCTGGGACATGAAAATCTTGGTGTGTGTTTAACAGGCCGGGTCCACACCACGAAATGACTGCTCGTGAAAACCTTACAGCTCCACTGCCCAGAAAACTGCAGAATGAAACGCCAACAGGGTCGACACACATTTACATCCAGGGCGGCCGGGGAACAAAGCGTGGTGGCGGGATCGGTCTCGCTGCGCGGGTCGCGCCCCGCCCCCCAACCCCCGCAGCTCGCGACCCCTGGGAGCCGTAGCTAAACTTGCAGATCCAATGTCCCCGCGCGGGCGTGCCTGACTTGGGCTGCAGCGCCCCGCCACCGCTCCGCCCGGCACTCCGCGTCCAGCCTCCTGGGCGCTTCCTGCAGACCCTGGCGTCGCCCTGCCACTCAGGCAGACCCGGTGTGGCCCCCGGCCTTGAACTCACCACCGCCCGACAAGATATAAAACTGTGAGAGAAAGAGGAGCACACGGCAGAGGCGGGTCAGTGCACCCAAAGTGCCCGCCGCAGCCGCCATCTTGCCGGCGCGACGCACTTCCGGGTGCCGGGCTAGAGTTCTGCCCAGGCGCCGGGGAGCCAGAAGGGGTGGAGCCAGGCGCATTTCCCGCCCCGCAATCCCCGGGGAACCCAGGGCGCAGGCGCATTGCGGCACTAGCCCGGAAGCTCCCCGGGAACGGGGTTGAGGATGGGCGCGGCGACGCAAACTGGTTGCTGGGTGCCCAAGCACCGCCCACGCCCCTGGACCAGGCGCTCATCCCCCTCCTTCCGGGGCTGGAGACCGGGCAAGGTCACGAAAGACCGAAATGTACCCCTGCAGTGACTGAAAACAGAGACGGGCAAACTGGGGAGTTGGCCACCATTTACATGTGGCTGCACAAGTATGTTTGGAGAAAAACCGCTCCTATGTGCTAAGTCCTGTGCGAAGGTTTTGATGACGTTACATTAAATACCAAAAAGGTCTTGTATACATAGAAAAAACCTGGCCCACACTGTATGGGAAGCGCCAGGTCCAGATGTGCCAGGAGGCCCCGCGATCTGGGGCTGACCCAGTCAGTGCGCAGCAAGCGTCTCTCCGGCAGCCTGCCGTGGGTTCCGCTGGCCAGCTCCTTGAGGACATGCTACTTTCAGAAGTCCCTCTAAGACCGGGAGAGGCCAGACATTAAGTATAGCCAGCAGGTCTTCAGGCTCCCAGGCACTGGGGCAAGAGCTCTGGCTGTAAGGTGAGGGTCCAAGCATGGGGCCCTCCCTGAAGGCCACCATGCGGAGGGTAGATACACCCCACGCCCGAGGCTTCCTGCACACTCAAGGCAGTGTGCACTTGTTTCTAGCAGCATCCCTTGTTCTGGACAGTTGACATGCTCCTCCCACCCACCTATCACAAGTTCATGGTGCAGGGGAGCAGCTTTTGACTCCCCACTCCCTCACTAGCACCTTCGGCGAGTAAAAAAATCTATCAAGATATCAAGTAGTGCTTGGCCTCAATAAATACTAGCTTGAAAATTATACATTTTGCATGTAATAGCGCCGTAAGTTCTGCTATATAATAGTTTTGTTTACCAACTGTTCAGGAAACTAAATGACATGTGTGTGGAAAGAACATCTCCTGAATTTATTTTGCATTCCACAGTACATAGCCAAATAAACACTTAAAAAATACTTCTTGATTGGTAGCTAAATTCTCTATGGGCATAAAAGCCTGTTAATTCTGTTCTGAGCAGTAAGGTATTTCTCTTAATTAAAATCAGAACTCCATTTGAGTATATAAAGCAGTGGACCGCCATCCTCACATCAAAAAGGTAATTTAACTCTAGGGAGGAAGATACTGTGGTGTAAACCCATAGCTGAAACACTATGACACATTTTATACAGAAATTTATTTTTTCTAAAGATGGACAAGGCTCAGTTGTTCATCAGAATCATTAAAACGCCAACTCTTAAATTACAATGCATGACACTGAATATGCGTTGAGTCCTTTGTCAATAATCGAATATTGAGTAGAGCTTCTTCACTTGCGGTTCTTGGTTAGTTAAAACAAATTAAGTAATGATTCCAATTTTGGAGATAAAGTTTCAGGGTGAAGTTTAGTAAAACAACTGAGAACATAATGTTATTAGGAAATAAGATTCTCTGGCACATTCCAGAAAGCTTTGCAGACTTTTATTTGAAATCTATCCTTTGAAAAGCACACATCTTAGCAACATCTCATAATCCTCATTTCCTGGTATTTACCTTTTTCAATGAATAACCTTTTCCCATTTAAGTCTCTCAAGACATGTGGGAAATTAAAAACTTCCCAGGCTTGTCCTCTTATTGTCCTCGGACACTTAGTGATTAAACTTTGTCCCCATCAGCTACTCATTCATTGTCTCCTCTCCCACTGCGCCCAACAGGGGAACCCTCAGTGGGTCCACAGTTTTCAGAAGCAGCACTAACAGTGGTTAAGAAAAAAAGCATTTTGGGGGGTTCAGAACAGGGTCGCACAGGAGAGTACAAGGAAGGACTTCAAAATTCTTCCTCAGCATTTAGTGTACGTGACTTCTTGAGATTCTTCAATTTATCAATGGTAGAAGTTAGTGAAATCTCTCCATGAATTTTGTTGCCCCTTGTTCGAACATTGACAGCGTTATTTGCTTTCTCCTTTTCTCCAACCACTGTAGAAAAGAAAGGAAAGTAACATGTTTAAGTCAACAGTTTATGAAATGTTAAGTGAGCAGTCACATGATAGGGGGTCTTACCGAGTTTTTCTCCAGTATTTATTAATTACTAAACATCCATCTGACTTCATTAGTTTCCTGAGGGAAGAAATGACTTCTATTTCTCTTGCCTACTTGTGAGAACGCCTAGTGTGGTCTTGGGGTGCACATGGGAGCAGGGAGCTCTCACAGACACCCTGACTCTACCCCTTGGTACATCACTGGATGGCCCAACCAGCCAACCAGAGTCTCCTGGAATGTAGCTAAAAAAGTGTGTCCTCTCTAGTGTCCCATATTGTGAGATGACACAGGAACCGGCCACCATGTTCCTTGCCATCTGGAAGGAAGAAACTGGTCATCAAGTAAGAGGAGTAAAGTAAATATCCAAGAGAAACAAAGAACCGGAACAGAACAGGGACCGGAAATGGGGAGAAACAGCCCTGGGTAAGAGTTACGTTCCTCTCTCCTCTTTCTCTTCCAATGATCTGGCTATGCAATTCCACCTTCCATGTGAATGGACACTCCAGTACCTGTCTAGGGAATTCCATCTTTGTCTAAGCTATGTGAAATATGTCACAAGAAGCCTGTTTAAAACATCACCGTGCCTACGACAAACACTTGCGATGACAGACTGTTCAGAGGACAACTCTATGCCTATTAATTTTGCCTTCTACAGAATCTTTCAACTTCCAGGAGCTAACTTCATGCCTGCAGGCATATCAATATCAATTTCTCTTGATTCTGAATCATTTTTAAAGTCAAAATTTTCGTTTCTGCATTCAATGATTCATGTGCCTAAATGACTTTTTTTTCACTTAATTCTTTTCTTTTGATCATCGTAAATCTGGAACCTTTCCCACGCATTAGTGTAATCCTAAAGGTTTCTAATAAATCAGAAAAGCAAAGGAGAAGATTTTAGGCCTGTTATATGGCTGGAATATAAGGAGTATAATTGTACTGATGAGGTCATTTTCATTTTTTCCCCCATCATTTGTCTGAGATATTAATTCATGCTGGTGTTATTAGACCACAGGATTCACGTGGAAGTTTATAACTCTTTTTCCAGCAAAGAACAAAGGGGACCAAGGAAGAGCCTTCCCAGGAACACCACACATTCTCCTTTGTGTACAAGTAATTCAACAGTTAAATGGATACGGGATAATCAAGTAGTTATACCATATTCTTTATTTCGGCTTTTGGAATTAGAGTGTGAAAAACAAGCATTTAGGAGAATAGATATAAATTTAAATTACCCAAAATAAAATTATACTGAGCCAGCTGTGCATTTCGGATTTTCTTGTTTAGTGTACAACTGTGATCTAAATCAACGTCGGCCGTGAATCCTTCTTCGAAAAAGGCACTGGATACCTACGAGAAAATAAAACGCCCTATTATTGCATTATGCGTGGTAGCAACACCCTCATGTCACCCCCGCCCCACGTGCACACACTGTACCAGCTGGGTCTGCGTGACCATAGCGACGGGCAGGAGCGATAGCAAGTCACTCCTGGGATGAGAGAGCACGTGCAGCCTCCAGCTCCTTCCCATCATTCCCTCTGGGGGAAACCAGCTGCCGTGTGGGGAGGACGTTCAGGCCAACTCTGCAGGGGCCTCCGAAGATGGGAGCGGGTCTGGAGACTGCGGCCCTGGCAGCTGGCACCCCCCCCCCCCCCGCCCGCAACCTCCTGGCTCCCTGAGCCGGGACCACCCAGCCAAGCTGCTCCCAGATCCTGACTCACAGAAACTCTGAGCCAATAGGTGTTTGTTGTTTTAAACAGCTGAGTGTTGGGGTCATTTGTTACACAGCAATAGATAATATAAGTATTCTTCCCTAATAGAGCCACGTGGAAAAGAATAACTTAAACGTCAGGTGTTTTACAATACCAGTTTCTCAAAAACCTTAAGAAAGGTAATAGTTCTGGTACAGCATATAGTCTTGATTCAGGTGTTGCTCCCAATTACTGGAAACATGGTTGTGAAGCGAACGTGTTAGTGAGGCATGTACTGTAAGTATTTTAAGGCATGAATGCATTTCAAGTCAATAACCTTCCCACACTAGGTACCAGGGTTACTACGCACTTTAACTGTCTCGGACTTTACCTGAAGTGCGTAGTTTTCACAAGTTGGTCCCACAGGGATGACCATTACTTGACGAGGGGACAGCCAGAAAGGCCTGAAAAAGATGGAAAAATAGGTATTTTTCAGAATGAGCATTTATTACACGATTAAAAAATAACCAAAGATTGATGTAAAGAAAGACCGACAAGAGAGCAGGCTCCGTAGAGGGCTGTGGAAGTAAACCAAATTATATTAAGAGGTAAAAGGCAGCAGAGTACACAAAAGGGGACACCGGGCGTTTTGACAGGGAGGGCGGCGCGGGTCGGCGGCAAGGTGGGGAGGCCACACGCCCCACCGCCGCACTAGTGAGCCCCACAATGTCAGCCCGGTGCCCCCTCCTTTTGCTACAAAGTCACTTCCGTGGTCACGAGGACCACTGTGCTTCTGAGAGGGGCTCGGCTCAGCTGGCCTCTGCGTGGAGCGCTGGCAGAGACGTGGCAGAAAGGAAGAGCAAAGCAAATCAGAGCGGGTGTCTTTTTCTAGGAGGTGACGTCACTGGCCCTTGCACGGCGAAAGGGACGCAATATCATCAACCTGCCGCGAGAGAGTTGGCTGTTCCCTTGGGGTTATGGTGGCAAGTCAGGGATCAGGGCTGACGACAAATGATGGCAGATGGCGTCTTCAGAAGAGGCCTAGCAGGTGGAACTTGGTGGCGTCCGAGTTGCTGAGCCCACGCTTGTCCTCGGGGCCACTTTGGTCATCCATCCCTGAGCCACCACTAGGGGGAGAAAGAAGCTGACGAACGCAGAATCAGCCTCTTGCATCTCAATACTGAAAATCTCACAGTGGGGGCCTTCGGGTGGGCAATACCACTGCCCTCGCGGCCCGTTCTGAGCCACCGTCCACACTCCTCTCCCCCAAATCTGTTTGTCCTCTGTTTCCCAACCTAACTCCTTCTCAGTCTCTGACCTTGTAGCCAAAGCAATAACCAGAGCCCGCGCATCAGCGTCCCTTGACATTCGGCCATTTTCCTGCCGGGCAAAGAGGACCGAAAGATGCACCACTCGAAACCCTGCACTGATGGGCATTTACCTCCCCCGCTTCCTCCTAAAGTCAGGCTGGGCTCTGGATTTGTGCCACCGAGCTGTTCAGGGCCATTTGTGAACCAGGGTCCCCTCCAAAGTCAATGGGCACCTGGTACTCCGAGAGGTAAACAACGCGGGTTGAAGGATGGATGGCAGTTGGGCAAGAGGAGGGACCCTAGGGGTGTGGGCCTCATGTTCTCCGACAGCAACTACGAAGGGCTTGAAATGGCGAGAAGACAACTCTCTAATTCTCCTGAGCTCGAGAGGTAAAGGAGCGTTTCACGTTGCCCCGCCTTTGTTTTCTGATTTGGCGGAGGTAACAAGAATTTTTTACTTGCTGTTTGGACACTTGCTAATGACGATGAGGCAGGAGCCACCAATTCTCTCACAGTAATTTTAGCTTGTAGACATGAGTTTTAAGAATAAGCAAAAAAATATGGATTTTCTTTTCCAGACCACTCACCATTTCCCCCCGTAGTTTTCTGACAGAATGGCTATCATTCTTTCCACGGACCCCAAAATGGCTCGATGAATGATCACAGGGTGTTTCTTATCGTCCCCATCCTTGCTGAAAAAATAAAAATCACACATTGAAGTGTTTTCTCAAGATTAAGTAATAACTTTACTTTCCTACCTTAAAGTGATTTTCCTAAACTATGTAAAGCAATGGGTTCCTTGTAAATCTTCAAGCATGCCATGTGATCTTTATTAGAAATAAGGTTTTCTTCCAATTATAGTATCTTTTATGAATCAGGAAAAAGCAAGGAGTAAGTCTCATTGGGATCCAGATCTTGATTTCTGTGTGTCATCCTCTAATATGATATTTATTGTAGTCTTCAGTTCTAAAAATCCCATTTCCCACTGGAAAAATGACCAACTCAAAAGCTGGGTTAGGGAAAAATACAAGTGAGCCTGTAGCATCTTGTAGGGCCAGTGAGCAAAGACATGCTAATTTTAAAAAATTTTTTAAAAATATATGACATGCTTTTATTCATAGCTTCTACAGTTTTAAAAAAGATTTTATTTATTTTTAGAGAGAGGGGAAGGGAAGGAGAAAGAGAAGGTGCGAAACATCAATGTGTGGTTGCCTCTCGCACGTCCCCTACTGGGGACCCTGCCTGCAACCTGGGGATTGAACCAATGACCCTTTGGTTCACAGACTGGTGCTCAATCCACTCAGCCACACCAGCCAGGGCTTAATTTTTTTTTTTTTAAATAAAGAGAAAGGATGGGGCATATAAAAGGGACACAGAAGCCTACCAATGGCAAAGGCTGGCACTATTTGAGCCAGAAAAACTTTTAAATGTTCCATTTTATCATAACCCAAAGTATAAAATTAATATTCACAAGTCTATACTGATATAAATAAATAATTGAATACACAAATGAACAAGAGGCAAATCTTCCTTACAGAAGAATTCGAAATAACATGTGTAGACACATGCTCCTTCTACACTAACAGCCCCAATTCCTTCCAGAAACAGAAGAGAAGGGACCGCTGCCCAACTCATTTTATGAGGCCAGCATTACCCAGGCACTAAAACCAGACAAAGACAGTACAAGGTAAGAAAACTACAAACCGATGTCCCACGTGAACACACACGCAAAAGTTCTCAATAAACTATTAGGAGACTGAGTCCAGTATATGTCAAAACATCGCACGGCCAAATGGGATTTATCGCAGCAAAGCACGGCGCAATGTTCCTTATCAATGTACTCCACCAGATGAACAGGCTAAAGAAGAAATCACATGGTCATATCGATTGATGCAGTAAAAGAACTTGACAAAATTCAACACTCATTCATTTTAAAACCCCTCAGAAAGCTTGGAATAGAGGGGAACTTCTGCACCTTGACAAACAGCATGAACAAAGGCCTGCACATAACACTGTACTTTGGGGGAACAACTGTCTGTTTTCCTCCTAAGACTGGGAACAAGGTGAACACACCATTCAACTCATTCAACGTAGCACTGGAAGCTCTAGCCAATGCCACAGGCAAGAGAAGGCAATAAAAGGCATATGGACAAGAAAAACCTTCCCTATTTGCAGAAGGTTTAATTGTCTACATAGAAGATCCTCAAAATTTTACAAGAGGAAAAAAGAAAAAACTCCTAGAACTAGTAAGTTCAGCAAAGCCTCAGGATACAACACCAACATAAAAAAATTGGTTGTATATCTCAATACTAGAAATGAATATATGAATGCCAAAGTTAAAAAATACTATACCATTTACAGTTGCTTCCTCCACATGAAATACTTAGGTATAAATCTAACAAGACATGTACAGGACTTGTATATTGAAATCTACAAAAACTGATGAACGACTCATAGAAGTTTGTGGATTAGAAGACTCAATGTAGGTAAGTAAAATCTATCCAAACTGATCTCTAGATTCAGTAAACTTCCAATAAAAACTCACACCAGGAATTATTGAAGACTTATTAAAAGCAAAGGAATTAAAAGAACCAAAACAATTCTGTAAAAGAACAAAGAATTCATATCATCTCGTTTTAAGACTGACTATAAAGCTACAGTGGTCAAAACAGTATGGTACTGACAGAGAGATAATCAATGGATCAGTGGAACAGAACTGAAAATCTAGAAACACCCATACAAATATATCCGGTTGGTTTTTGATAAGGGTACAATGGCAGGTCAATGGAGAAGGGATGCCTTTTGCAACAAGTGATGTTAGAATAATCAGATATCTAGACGTAACCAGTGAATTCTGGCCTACGCTTCTCATCTTAGACAAAAATTAACTCAAAATGGATCTTAGATCAAAATGCGAAGCTTAATACTAGGAAACTTCTAAGAGAAAGCATAGGGGAAATCTTCCATTACCTGTGCTTATATATGATGCCAAAAGCCTGAGCCATAAAAGAAAAACTATATAAATGAGACATTGGTGAAATATAAAAGAAGCCACACATTAGGAGAAAATATTTGCAAATCAAATACACATCAATATATAGATGTATAATGAATAATAGAATATATAAGGAACACTCAAAACTCAACAGAGACACATAATTAGAATGAGTTCCTCATCATTTATCATATTTGATCACTCACCTAACGTATGTGAGATTAAATCTAATAGGCAGTTGGAAGTCAAGCTGGATGGTAGCGCACTGGTGGGATCTGCCAAGAGCGTCCTTGATTTTTATATCAATCTGCAAATGAAACGATGTTTGCTCAGACAGTTTCTAGTTTTCTTTCAAACTGCACTCGTTCTGAAGCAGATGGGCTACTTACTTTAGGGCCATAAAAGGCTCCGTCTCCGAGGTTCATCTTCCACGGTTTTCCAAAGTCCATCAAACTCTTCTGCAGTTGCTGTTTTTCAAAAAAGGTGAGACCACTGAACACATACTGTCCTGTACATTTTAATCTTTTTTGCCACTGGCTCAGAAAAATAAGTTCTCATAAATCTTAATTACATTCTGTTTTAGTTCAACGTATACTTATTGAGCATCTTTTGCATTCAGGAAACTACTGAGCAAGGACTACACATAAAGGTGATTGATTACATTGGTGCTTGCTTTCAGGAAACAGACACCATTCATTTGGTGGGAAAAGAAGATCATTTACTAAACTGTGCCGGGATTCCACAAACGCGTTTAGGGAGGGGCACTTCGGCCCTTGAGCCAACGCAGGGCCTCTCTGCCCCGCCCACTTCTCAGCTCCCGCCTTCCAGTGACGGTTCCCAGACGGTTCTGGCAGGGGGGCCCTCCCCACGGGAAAGGCTTGAGATATTGGATCTTGTTTGCCTCCTCCACTGTGTTAGGTGATGAGAAGACCAAGGGGGCAGCTCTCTTGCATCTCCCCCAGTGCTGCACGTGCAGCTGGGGTGCTGGGATTTACACGGTGTGGGAGCAGGAGGCCCACTTTGGTCTTCGGCCTAACACATATACATGCTTTTAAGTTAATGTGTGTGAAAATGTCCATGTCTGCAGGAGGCTGGTGCACAGAGAAGTATTAATGATAAAAGGGGTCTTTGGTCCCGCTGCTACTCCCTGTGAATCCAGACTCTTCGGGAAGCACGTTCCAGGCCAGAACACCGCCAAACACCATCCATATCCCTGCCCTCACCAGACACATGGATGCCCACGAAGGGGCGGACACTTGGGAGCGAAGTGCCCGATGGGAAGTCCAACAGTGGTGGTGTCTGGGGCGGAAGCCAGAGTCACGGAGAAAGCTGAGTCCCGGGGTCCCAGCAGGCTGGTCCAGGGCCTCCGTCAGAGTGGGCGGGGAGCTGGTGCTGGGTGAGGGCCCGGGGAGGCAGCGTCCCTCCTACTGAGCACCCGGGAAGGCCACCACCGTGGACGCACTTCACAGGCTGGGAGGCCGCCCTCCCCCCTTACTCTGTCTTTGAAAGGAGACATGCGCATGCGTTCGCAGGGAAAATGAGGCCCAGGACAGCAGACAGCTAGGCGATGGGAGGAATCTGGGGGCTCTCAGGGAAGGGAAGGCACACGGAGGCCCGGCTCGCGGAAGAGCATAAGGCAGAGGTCACTGCTTGCCACGAGGCCTCTGAGGACACAGAGACGGGGAAGCCTGACAGGGGTAGCCAGGAAAGGCTAAGGCAGCCCTCGGTGTAGGCGAGAGGGGCCGCAAGTGTGGGTGGGACACGAGCCTGAACCAGCCACTTCTCAGGTCTTGACTGGGGACACTGCCCAGCCCCCTGGTGAAGGAAAAACGAAGGGTTCATTTTTCTCCTTCTGTCTGTCTGTCTGTCCTCCTTCCCCAGGGAAACCAGGGCTTTCGCTCCCAATAGCACTGGAGGTCTCGACTGTGTCTGGGTTGGGCTCAGACACATCGATGTGCTTGGACTGGTGAGGCTATGGGGCTGCAATGCTGGTAGGGATCTTAGTGAGTCATTGCAGCTCCGCAAAGGTGGGGCACAGGGAGGTTTGGGGTGGGGCTGATGAATGCGACTCCACGGAGCTGAGGGGTTTACACTGGTTCCAAGGGGGAGACGACAGACCAGAGCTGCTGAAGGAGCCAGAGGGTTTCTTTAGAAACTATGACACTGGTTATCATTAGCAACTGGCACTGAAAAGAGTATAAACAGCCCTGGCTGGTGTGGCTCAGCGGATTGAGCACCAGCCTGTGAACCAAAGGGTCACTGGTTCAATTCCCAGTCAGGGCACGTGTCTGGGTTGCTGGCCAGGTCCCCTGTTGGGGGTGCTTGAGGGACAACCACACCTTGATGTTTTCCCCTCTTTTTCCCTTCCTTCCTCTCTCTAAAAAGAAATAAATAAAAATCTTTTTTTTTTTAAAAAAGCATAAACAAACCTTGATATAAACTTTAAAGTGTGAAACAAATGTATGGTATTGTTGTTAGTATCATTATGAAGCGAGCTGGGTAACTATGTTCTACAATTGGCACCTTTATCCCAGAACTTCCCCATCTAAAATTCCACTGTCTCTTCATACAAGGTGATAGCAGCCACCTGGGCGGTTTCCCTAGTCACAAAAATGGAGAGGAAGCATTTTGCTCCTCCTACCTTTTCAGCTTCATCCCATAATGCAATCTCTCCTAAGAAGTTTTCGGGCCTGGTGGACAAGTTTAATTGAAAGGAGAATCCAAACGTGGAGTACACAGATTGCAAAAACTGCAAACAGCCCTTTATTTCTTCTTCGATCTGCAATCAGAGCAAAGGAAATATTTTAAATAGAACACCCAATGAAATCCATTATGGCGTTTTTAAAAATAAAAATAAAATCGTTCTTCACATCAAAGAGAAACAAAGCGTATTTTCGCTGTAGAGAACAGTTAATGACACGGTGAGGGTTGTCTGTCCGTTCCTTACTTGGATGTTCGGGGAATGTCTATCACGTGCCAGGCACGCGCAGGCTGCCAGAGGCCCCTAGCCCAGTGCCGGCGGCGCACACGGAAGCAGGCAAGGGCGCCTCACCGTGACAGTGCCACACAGAAGCGGGGACAACGCCTGCCCAGAGGAAGCGAGAGCCAAACTGCAGCGGGAGGACAGGGCATAGTCCTCCCTGCAGAGGAAGGACAGGAGCTCCTGAGCAGAGGAAACGCTGCGTGTAAAGGCTCAGGGGACAGGGAAGCCACAGGGAGCTGCCGTGGGACCGAGCCCTGTGTGATGGAAAAGGGGGACAACATGGGGACAGTGGGAGGTGACAGGCAGGAGGCAGGAGGGAACGAGAGAAAGTTGCCTTCAAAGCCAGGATAGAGTCCACACTCTTTAGCCTGAGAAAAATGGAAAAATATCAATGAAGGTTTGTTTTGTTTTTTGTTTTTTAAGGAGACTAACATGATCGATTTGTTCTTTCAAAGTGTGGGAAACGGACTGGCGAGGTCAGAAGAGAGGCCCCTGAGGAACCCGGCGAGATTTCAGGAGCGTGGTGATGCGGGTCCAGACCAGAGGGAAGCCCTGGGAACGCGGAGGATCTGATGCGTCTGCCGGACAGCTAACCTTTCCCTCACCGCCTGACAGCAATCGCCTCTGCGCTAAGCACCGAGCTGGATGCTGGGCACTTGGGAATGCATGAGGTTATTCAGGAATCAGTCACATGTTTAGGGAGCGCTGTCAATAGGGCTTGTGATGAACTGGACAGGGGCAGGCCTGGTGTCCCAGGAGGAGCACAGCGTGGTGTGGGAAGCCAAAGAGGAGCCAATTCTGCAAACGGTTAATGTGAAGGCGCTTGGGGTCTCTTCCACCGCCACGTTGTGGCTTGCAGCACACAAGTCCTCTGCCTATTTTGTTAGATTTCCACCTAAGTATTACTTTTATTCTGCGTGATTATGAATGACACTGTATTTTTAACTTCATCGTCCACGTGCTCATTGCTCGAACAGGGAGGTACAGCTGGTTTCTGTGTGCAGAGCTTGTGTCCTGAGACATCAGCTGCGAAATACACGCAGCAGAAACCGAGAGAATTGAAAGGAGAAACAGACAAATCCACAACGCAGGTGGAGACTTCATCATCCCTCTCTCAACAACTGACGGGACAACTAGACAGAAAGCCAGCGAGGAGACCCACATCCCCATTGACCAACCAGGGCCTCACTGTCATTTAGAAAACCCTCCACCCAACGACAGCAGAACACGCGTCTGTTCGAGTCCCACGAAACACACATACCAAGATGGCCCGTGTCCTGGGCCATGAAACAAACCTCAGCCAAAGTTTTAAAAATCGAAGTCATACTAAGTGTTTTTTTCTGACCACAATGGAATTAAATTAGAAATCAGTAACAGAAAGATAAGAGGAAAATATCCAAACACTTGGACACTGAACACACACTTCTAAATAAGCCATGCATTCAAGAGGAAATCGCAAGAGAAATTAAAGGAAAAATACCCTGAGCAGAGTGAAAATAAAAATACAATATATTAAAAGTACAGAGCAAAAGCTGTGCTAAAAAGTAAGTACAGAGCATTAAGTGTGGATATTATGAAAGAAGAAAAGTCTCAAGTCAATAATCTAGGCTCCCACCTCATAATCTTGGGGGGAAAAAGGCAAAATAAACCCCAAACAATAAGAAATATGTAAATACTTCCAAAAAATTTGTCCATTTCGTCTAAGTCGTTGACTTTATTGGCATAAAGTTGTTCATAATATTGGCTTATTATCCTTTTAATATTTATAGAATCTGTAGTAATCTCACTCCTCTCATTCCTCATATTTTTAATTCATGTCTTTTGTTTTTTCCCTGATCATTAAAGTGGCCCTTCACATGACAATTTTAATTTGAATTAACAGGAAAACCTGCAAAAAGTAAAAGTCGAACTTCTATGCAATATTGAAAAACAAAAACATCCAACATTCTCCCAAATCCCTTGAGATATTAGATGTACTGTATTTAAGTCAATAAAACTGAAGGAAGCGTAAAAGAAAAATAGTAATAAATGTCATGCTAAGATATTACTGATCTACAACCCAAACTTGAGCATGACAGACTGTTAGAGCTGAATGAGACCTCAGAGACTAGACCAAACTTCTTATTTCACAGCGACTCTGGAAGACTCAGAGATTCCGTGAGACTCAAGGACCAAGACAAGACTCGGAATGTGTGCAGGCCACACCTTACCGCATGGTGTTGCTGTTTACCTGCTCCACCGTGCAAAAGATGTGCGCATCATCCTGCTGAAAGCGTCTAACTCGGGTCAAGCCACTTAGAGTCCCCGACAGTTCATTTCGATGAAGGACTCCGAAATCGGCAAATCTAATAGGCATTTCCCTCCAAGACCGCGGACGATGGGCAAACATTAGACTAGAAAAGAGGCAATAAACACTCAGCTTTCACTTAGCATAGAAAAGATTAAACAACTATCTAAATATGAACAAATTACAATTACGCCTCAAGATTGGTAAACGCTTTATGCTGGTTCTTAGATCACAAGTTTTGAGAACGTTTCTTCTCCTATGAAGTGCTGAACCTAGAATTTGCAACACTACAGGTCCTAAGAACCAGAGATGCTGCTTCCTATTCCCATTCCCCCGTGACAATTCATTTCAAAGACCACTTCCCACTCTGCTCCCTGAGGAGAGGGCCTGCCTTACTCTCCTCTGTATTTCTAGCGCCAAGCGCTGCCAACACTCTTTGTCACGTTAGAGGCTTCTCTTCTGCAGAAAGCACTCCCAGCAGCTCCCGTGCCCCCTCCCCGCTAACCCCACTGAAGTCAGACTTTCTTATTCTGGGGCATAACCATACAAAGTTACACTCTCTTCTTCCACTCAGCCTTCCTCATAATTAGAGCTGAAATCACAGACTACAGCTTCAAACGGTACCTCATGGGAAACTGAGTTAAGATGTTGTTAAGGCAAGTGTTTTAGACACTACAAAGTGCTCGGTTGACCTCCACCTTCTGTTTAAAAAGAGAGGGTACAGACTTTTCACATGCCAGTTTTCATAAAACTAAAGGTAATTATATGTTGTGAACAGGCTGCCAGCATAAAGCTGATCTTCTTTTAGTGTTTACTGAAAGGGACAAAGAGCTTTCGTCAGTGTTCAGAGGTCTGTTTTAATAATTACCTTCTGAAGTCCATTTACTGGAAACTATGTATGTTGATGATGCAAAACTATAACAACTGAGATTTTTTTTGTGTGGAGAAATTGTGTCTGTTCACTTCCAGTTGTAAAACTGGTGTGTCTTATGAGCTTAATTTGCATATCAACTTTATGATAATGGCATTCTTGCATAGACTCTAAGAAAATACAGATTGAAAGATGTGCCATTACTTTATGTACCACTAAGAATAAAAATAACCCATTAAATAAATTATGACATAACGCTAAGATGCCTCTGGTTGTAGATGCATGCCAATTTCAGAGATGCTGAAATGTGGGTGGAAAAGTTATCCTGGAATCAATGAAACCCAGTCACTCATTGATTACAACCTCACTGGCCCTATTATTAACCAACCCAAACAAAAGATGCGAACAAAATGTTTGGCAAATGTGTGTATTTGAAGTGTATTATGACCATGAAGAGAAATACTATAATAATTTATAGAAACTGATACATAACATTATCTCTAAGAAGCGCAAAAAACTAAATGGTTTCTAGCTAACATTGCACACCTGCCAAAGATCAATCTTATTTTAAACAGTAAACTCACTTTCCAGGATGAAATAACTGGGCAAAGACAGCTAGGAACCCACATCCTTCAGGTTAAAGGAATCTGTTGACTCCCAAAAGCAAAACACGTAACAATACTGAAAGCTCGGCCCCCACGCAAAGGCCTGCTTGACTTTCAGTGCTCACCAGTGCCCCGGGCAGTTCATGGGCTTCAGGGCAAAAGTGTCTTTCTCCACGTCGAAGGAGAACATGCTCTCGCTGTGATGCTGCCGGTGGCCCGAGGCTTCCCAGAGTTTACTGTTGTACACGTTGGGAGACAGCACTTCTGTGAAGTTGCGCTGGTGATATTCCTCCTGGAAGAGAACACCCTTGAAGTTCAGATCTGCGAGGACAGGCCACAAGGCCAGGCAGTCACACTGAGAGCCAGTGTTTTAAACTCAGGGTGACCTTGCCCTGGCTGGCGTGGCTCACTGGACTGAACACCAGCCTGTGGACCAGAAGGTCACTGGTTCGATTCCCGGTCAGGGCACGAGTTGGGGGCCAGGTTCCCAGTAGGGGGCGTGCGAGAGGCAACTGGTCAATGTTTCTCACATCAATCTTTCTTTCTCCCTCGTTTCCCCTTTCTCTAAAAATAAATAGTATCTTTTAAAAAAATAAAAAAATAAACTCAGGGGGATCTTGTATTCATTCATGATTAATGTACCCTCAGCTTCAGGTGTGGTGCTTTCAAGGTCATGAAAGAAAGATTAACGTATGCTCAGCAGAATTTTCACATTAAGTATATTGATATCACAGTATACAATAGTATACACTATGTAATGTTTTAATTCTTTGAAAATTAGTATTTATAGTTATATTTATTTATGTATATATACACATAACGTATATATACACATAAGTATATTTATATTATTTACAAATATTTATATTTATATATAAAAATATTTATAAATATTTAAATATTTATAAAAGCATAACTCTACAGGGCCAAAGAGAAAGGAGAGGCAAGGAGAAGTCCTATGCTTTGGAATCCGGAGAGTAGAACCACTGCCTAAGCGGCCCTGGGAAAGCTGGGACTACAGAGGCAAGGCCAGAAGCAAGTCTACTTTAGCTGAGATTTCTGGGATCCACATTTTTAAGGCGTTGGTCCTGTCTTCTATTTTTTAGTGTTATCACTGGAAATTTCATTGCCGTTCAGATGCCCAGTACTATGTCTTTGGCTTTTTCTCTTTGAAAACATTTAGAATATTTCCTTTATCTCTAAAGCTTTAGAATCTCTTGACTGTGTGCCTTGGTACCTGAGGAAAGAATGGTTTTACCAAAAAAGAAAAAGAGTAAGAAACCTAGACATACCTCTGTTGGGAGCGGAGCCTGTCCCTTGCCCATTTGGGGTGGGGGTCCCTATGCTACTGAGCCAACAGGCAGAGAGTGACTTACTCTTCTGGCCAGGATGACTGGCCCCAACTGTCGGGGAGGCTGTGCTGCTGTTACAAAGGACCGAGAATGCAGGGAGGAGCCTCCGGCATTTCCACGTGCAACCACGGCCTGAGGAGAACGCTGGCGACCTCTACAGGCAGGATCACCAAGCACCTGGATCCTTTGGGAAGAAGATTTAGGTCACCCACTACTGCGGGTTGAATTGTATCCCCCCAAGAAAGACAGGCTGGAGTCCTGGCCCCGTGGACCTCAGAATGGGGCCTTATTTGAAAACAGAGGTGTTAGAGCGGTGATCAAGTTAAGAGGAAGTCATTGGAGTGGGTCTTACTCCAATGGGACCGGTGTCCTTGTAAAAAGAGGAAATCTGGAGAGAGACACACGCACACGTGGAAGAAAGATGATGTGAAGACACAGAGGGAGAATGTGGTGTGAAGGCAGAAGACTGGAGCGAGGAGGCCCTGACAAGCCAGGGCACACCGATGACGACGGACCAACTCCCCCTCGCGAGAAAAGGGCAAGGAAGGTTCGACCCCTTCCCAGCTTCCAGACGGAGTGTGGCTCAGGGGGCCCCCTCATTCCACACACCACGCCGCTGGAAGTGCGAAATGTCACTCCCTATGGTTTGGGGCTGCTCCGTTTATGGTGCTTTGTTAGACACCCCAGGAAACTAACAGACCCACCGAATAAAACACTGTCCGTCCGAGGCACTGGCAGGAGAAGGGGCGCACGGAATGGGAGCGGGGAGAGGGAGCCTCTGATGTACCTCCTTGTGTCCATTTACACGGGCTCAGGTGGAACCGCTGCATTTAATTTTTTTTCCCTGCATATTTACACCAAGAGCACGGGTGGTCGCTAATGTCACAGTTTAGATTTTGGATGACACCAAACCGGCATCGCCCCAAGTGATGACACGTTGGCGAGCAGGACTTGGGGTGAAGAAACAAAAGTCTTCATCCAGCAAAGGACAAAAGTGGACTCTAAGTAACAAAAGTAACAGTAACCTCTGTGCTGGCCATTCTCGTTGGCCACCCCCTGTCCTGTCCCGGACTGACCTGCCTTTCTGTCCTCTGTGCCCTGCTCTGTGTCCCCACAAGCTGACTTCCATGGACCACTGCGCCAATCCTGCCTGCCTTCCGACTTCAGGTGGAATCTGACCAATGAGAGGCTCTACATGCATCCAGAGGGAGGGAGAAGAGCGAAGTCAGAATCTTTATTCCCCTCCCCCCCACTCCAGAAACTTGGGTTTCTTCTGTCCTGGGCTGCGACCAGTTACAGCTTCTGTCAGGTGGCCTCTTCCCGGGCGTCAAGCTCTCCCTGGGCTCCGGTAACGCGGTTCTTTCTCACCGCCCTGGCTGAGGGCAGGGGTAGGCGAGTCCCGCTGTTGGTAGTCCCTGGCTAGATGCAACCTAGTGAGTTCCCTTAACCAGGCCCGCGCCTCTGTAAATACGTCCTTCATGAGACGCTCTTCGGTTAGACCCTTGAGCTCACCTGGCAGGACTGTGGCTGGATAGAAGGTCAAGGTTTTGAGATGCTACATGTCTGCAAAGACAAATTCGGTGGGGAAATGCACTGAGTCCAAGGCTGTGGGAGCAGGAGACGAACACTGTCCGAGCGCGTTATTAGTGGAATAGTGAGCAGAGCTACTGTCCCCTCTACCCCACGGCACCGACTGGGCAGCGACGCATGGGGCAGGTTAGGTTCCAGCAACTGAAACCGTGCGGCTGAGGAGTTGTGCCGAAGGAGCCCTTTCAGGCTGCTGGCAGGGACAGGAAGTAACAGTCACTTTAGAAAACCGTTGGCATTTTCTTAGAAACACAGATTTACCGTATGACCCTGAAATCGCGCTCCTAGGTATTCGCCCAAGTAAAATGAAAACGGATATTCACACAAAAGCCCTGTGCTGAGAACACTGAGAAAGCCACTCAGGGGTACGCCCGGGCCACTTCTTCTAAGAGAAAAACGTGACTCAAAGGGTGGAACCAGAGCGTAGGGAGAACAGAACTGAATCCTAACCGTCCTGCATTTTTTGACCCGAGAAAATATCTCTAGTTATTTTTATATACAATATCTAGCATATTCATAACAAATTACTAGACATGGGAAGAAGCAGGACCATATAACAGAAAACCAAGGGAAAAAAATAGTTAAAAAGTCCCTACAGTGTTTATATGTGTGTGTGCGTTTTGCACTAAAAGGCCAATTTTTTTTCAGACAAAGATGTCTGGGAGTTCAAGGTCAGCCGCCTCATCCATGTCTGCCAGACAGTCCCATCCCAAGGCTCGGGGCCCGGTCCTGCCCACCTGTGCCCTTACCTCGGCGTAGGAGACCTTCGGGGCTGTTTACGTACATGGCTGTACATCTCTGCAGCTCATACCCTAAGACTTTGGGCCTGACCATCAGCCATGTCTGTCCTGCATCTATAAGAGATAAGAGACTCCTTAAAGGCCACCATGGAGGCCTCCTGTTTATTCTTGGCGCACTCCGCCCCCAACCTAGAGAGTTTAAGGTGCCAGGGGCTGTGTTGACTTTCCAGCAAAGACAGCCCATTGTCACCACCTGCTGAAGCCTCTGATAATAGTCAGTGATTCTTCAAGTCTCAGCTCCCTGCCCTCTGATCCGCTATGGCGTCCCACTGGCCAATCCCTATGGAAAGGATGTAACTCAGGTGAGAAAGTTCACAGAGCTCAGCTCCCCAGGGCGTGGCATGAGGAAAGAAGGGGAAAAGAATGAGACAGTGACTCAGAGACTAACCAGCACATGCCACGTATGCTTTTTTCTAGGAGGTTCTTAAGGAAAGCGCTTCCCCAGATGAGAGGGAAAAGCAAGGAAGAGGGATCAGGAAAGAGGAGAATCACTGTAGGAAAGAGATGAGGGGAACAGCCAGGATGATGACGAAAAGAAGCCTAAAGATGTAATTCTGGAGAGAAAAGATCAAACTTGAAACAAAAAATTTACCGAAAGATGACCCAGATGGCCGGAATAAGCCGCAAGGAGTTTCAGGAGCCCTGATAGAAAGTTGAGGATGAATGAGTGACAAGCACTTAGAAAACGGAGTCAACGAAAATGTTACGTGATCGTTGATAATAAGAAAGACAAGAGGAGTGCAAAAAAGAAAATGTAGCCCTGACTGGTGCGGCCCAGTGGGTTGGGCATCATCCCACAAAATGAGAGGTCGCAAGTTCGATTCCCGGTTAGGGCACATGCCTGGGCTGCAGGCCTGGTCCCCAGTCAGGACACGTGCGAGAGGCGACCAATTGATGTTTCTCTCGCACATCAATGTATCTCTCCCTCTCTTTCTCCCTCCCTTCTGCTTTCTCTAAAAATAAATGGAAATGTAGCCCTAGTAGTCCACCTGCATCACACCTGAACTGTATCTACAGCACACAGTCCTATTAGAGACTTTATAATCTGTGAACTTGCATTACAGGATAGTATTTTTCAGAGCTGTCTTCTCTCTCTTTGCTCTGGAGCTGCCAAAGCACCACAGACAACGATGGAGCACCGGGGGTCCATGGACCACATTCTGGGAAGTGATGCTTCATGGGCCAGCATTCTGTGCCGGGTAGGATGCCCCCTCCTTTCTTCCCTTTCACAGAGACTTCCTCACTGGGTCTAATGCTTACCTTTGTATTGTACGCACTCTAGAAACTTCTATGTGCCCCAGGGGCATTTAATAAAATCCAAGAAGGCATTTAATTTAGGGACAATACAACTTATCTCAATGTTTTTATTACAAGGCACAATCCAGGATTTATTTCTCTTTTAGGCTCAAAATTCTTAATGTTACTAATATAAAATTAATGGACGTGCTTGACCATTTTCCTATGAGAGAAAACAGTATCATGCAAAATGCAGTTGACCAAGAATAAAACCCTTAAGAAATTAACTTACCCGTATGAAATCCATAAGTGTATTATAAATGAAGGCTCCCCTGGGCAGGAAAAAACAGCTTCCGGGACTCAGGTCGTGGAAAAAGAAAAGCTCTTGATCCTAGAATAAAACAGTAACTGGATTTCAAAGTCCACTGTCAGTTCTTCATATTTACTGTACACTTGATATGCTACAAGTAAAATGTATACTCAGCTATCATTTCTGTTTTCTAATAATTGATGTTTCGAAGTCCCTCATACTTCTATCTAATTATATGCAATAGCACGTGGAAAATTACGATCCGTATGTACGGTCACTAAGCTTTGCACTTAGCTCTTCTTTCCCCTCATATTCACTGTTCTTTCTCCCTTGGCATCTTGGAGGACGGGTCTCATGGGGAGAAAACATTACAAAAACATGAGAAATGTCCGCCGCTGGAGGAGGACTCGTGGTAACGGTGAACATCACCACGGCCCTCACCTACCGAGAGCCCGGTCCACGCGGCCACCGTCTCCAGCGTCGCCCTCTCATCGCTCCGGCGGGCTACCCGGCAAGACACGGGCACGTGGAGCTCCACAAGGGAACGCCAGCCCGTCACAGAACACAGCTCAGCGGTGGCAGGACTGAGGTTAAAACCCAGGTCTTCCCGCTTTCAAATCTCATTCATTCTTTCTGCTCTGCTCCCCAAATACAGAGCATGCTCTCAAAGTATGCATGCATTTCTAAAAACATTATTTTTTTATATCGTGATACCAATGAGAGAAAGGGGCAATGTTTTACATCTGATAAAAGCTACGGGAAGGAAAGAGGTTAGAAGGCACTGGGGTACTATCATGGAAGAACTGAATTGAACGCAAATGATGAGCGCCAGCAAAATAGAGGGTGGGAGAAGAAATACTATTTTTCAAACAATTTAGTTTGGAGACATAATCATGAGCCAGCAAAGGCCCGTGGCCTCTCAGCAGTGACCGGGACGCCGGCCTACCTTCCCGATTTTCCTGTGATCTCGGCTCCGGGCTTCCTCTTGGGACTTTTCCCAGGTTTCCATCCTCTTGTCATCGGGAAAGGAGATCCCATAGACCCTCTGCAGGGTTTCCATTTCAGGATTGCCCTCCCAGTACATCGAGGAATTCTACACGTCAAACAACACTTCGGTGAGCACATCTGGCATTTGGTTATCCATCAAATCAGCCTTCATATGTATACATATTCCAATATAGTATCAACAGAGCTTCCTTAACGGTGACCTTCTAGAGTGCTGGAAAGGATCTTAAACTGGTTCTAATGAAACCTTCCCAGTCCAAATTCAGCAGTCAGTTATGTTAAGGGTCTGCTATAGTTCTTGGAGTGAAGAGTGAGAAATGGTGGAAAGAAGGGAAAGCTACACAGCAGTTGGCATCGCCACGACGGGGCAGCAGGGGAAGAAGAGACCGGAAGGGAAGGCGTGGCTCATGGTTAATGACTGAGCGGCCGCCATCAATGCTACTGTACGTGGGAGAAAGTCAAGGTCGGGCCTACAGGTCAGTCTCATGCCTCTTGGCTCTCAGGACAATGTTTTCTCCATTCTACTACTATGTCCCCTTTGGCTTAGGCTTTTTTCCTACAGCACATATTCTGCATGCAGATAAAAGCTCTTGCTCACATTAGGGAGATTCAAGAAAACCACAGTAGCATATGAAAAAGCAACACACTGTAACACTCACAGTCCGGGTAAACGGTAATTCAAGGCTCTAGGTAATGTCCTAATGATCAAAATTGTTTAAATAAATTATTTTTAGAAGCCCATGTAAAGATGAAACAATAGAGTGCTTTTTAAGACAGCATGATGTTCACATTATAACAGATATGCTTGAAATCCTTAATTATTTAGTTCACCTTAAGTTTGCTATATGAAAAGTAGTAAGTCCTTACCTTGAAAATTTTTATGGCTTTAATTTTCCCAGTGTGCCTTACGTGGGGGCCTTTACAAAGGTCAACTAGTGAACCGCACCTACAATGGCACAGAGAAGACAAGCCCAGACACCGTTATCGTTCTTCAGACTATTCATTATGAACCATGTTCTCATATATTTGAAGTGAAGGATTTCACTTGATGGTATATTTGGGGGCAATTTTCCATTTAGGGGCAGTTTAAATTAAGTTTTAATTTACGACAAAGGAAAGAGACAATTCATCTAGCCTCAGATTTCAGTCGTCCTCCCTTTGCCCAAATTCAAAAGCTACAGAATCTTCTGGAAAAAGAAAACCGCACAGCGACACCATGTTGAACTGTGACATTCCAAGACTCTCAAAAACCTGCCTTGTTGCATAACCAAAAATCCATTTCCCTGCGCTACGCTCTTTTTCAAAACCAAAGTCACCGGAAACGCATACAAAATGCATCAGCTTGACACCTCACCTTAAGAACAAACATCGTCAAACCCACAATATGTACAACGTGAGGGTGAACCCTTGTGTGAACTCCGCAGTCTGCTCACAGCAGCAACCACATGGCCAGAGCGCACAGAAGTGGGAAGGGCAAACCCACAAGGTAGCACAGAAAGGGGATGAATCTCCTGGAGCTCGGGAGCCTATTGTTTAAGGGAACCCAGCGACGACGTGGCGCGGCTTTCACTTGCCTCGTCAGACCTTCACTTTGCCTTTGCCTCCCACCATTTCCTTTGTGTTTCATCGTGAATATCTGGCTCACGCAGGACGGCTGATGCTTTTGGGTTCTGGGCCGTGGGGAGTAAGTACGGCAGGAGGCAGGGGGCCCCTGTGTGGGGAGGTGGCCCGAACGGCTCCCCCACCCCCTCAGTGAGAATGTGGGGGGCTGAAGCAGGCAGCCCTTTCCCTAACAGCCCCCTCAAATGTAAGGCACTTGCTGAACACTGTCTCACTCACCCACAGAGAAAAAGATGCTGTGTTACACCTAACACTCAGAAAGCAAAATTTGGGTTTCAGTACCATTCTGATAAATACAAAGGAGAAAATAATAGCGTCCCTTTGGTGATTAACACTTCAGAGCCCCTCACTAAAGTAGTATATCAATATGCAAATTTACAGATCAACACCCACCCAAAGATAAACTGCTTGTCCTGCTAATGCCTTTAGGTCGGCAGTTTTAAAATTTACGCACACTTTACCTGTAAATGGTGGTAGTTGGAGTGTGAACCTTCTCATTCAAAATGCGGCATTTAAATTTATTGTACTACAAAGAAAAATAGATTTACATGTTATTACATAAAATGTTTAAGTGGAAAAAAATTTACGGTTTCCAACAAACACTGAATGGGTGTTTACTACATCCGAGGTGCTGGGCTCCTGGGGATACTAGGAGCTCACAGCCTAGAGCTATAGTGCCCGGTACAAGAGCCACATATGTTGTGAGTACAAAATACACTGGATTTTAGAGGCACAATGAGAAAAAGAACACAAAATAGCTTATTAATTGTTTTTTATGTTGGTTACATGTCGAAGTGACATTTTGATAATATTGGGTTAAAAAAATGTTATAAAAATCAATTTTACCTTTCTTTTGCTTTCAAAATGGGGCTACCAGAAAATGTAAGATTACATACGTGGCTCAGATTTGTGGATCGCATTATATTTCTATTTGGACAGCAGTGTTCTGGAAGATTCCAATTTTAACATGACATACATACAATTCTGTGGAAACAGCTACATTATTAATTTGTGCAAAAACAAAGTTTATATTAAATGATCATATCATTCCATTTAAACACTTAACAGATACATTTCTTTGTTGCCTCATCACTATTACTGTGGTGCCAGCAACTTTTGTTAAATAAGTACTGAGAGACAGTAGCTGTTGGAAAGAAAAAAAAATAGGTTTGCATGACTCAGCTGTTTCATACTGATCTGTTCTAATCAAAACATTTTTCTCTGCAAAGGTTTGAATGAGTTCAGCTCTCAGAGAGTGGGAGAAAATAAATGCAAATCACATATCTAATATAGGATTAATACCCAAAATATATAAAAAACTGCAACTCAACAACAAACAACAACAACCCATTTCAAAATGAGCGAAGGGCTTGAGTAGACATTTCCCCAAACAAGATATATAAATGGTCAATAAGCATGTAAGAAGATGCTTAATATCGCTAGTTATTAGAGGGATGCCATGCAAAACCACAGTGACATACTACGTATATCTCACCCATTAGGATGGCTACTAGCAAAAACAAAAACAAAAGCAAAAACGAAAAACAGAAAATAAGTGTTGGCAAATATACGGAGAAACTGAGCGCTCACACACCGCTGGTGGGAATGCAAAATGGTGCAGCCGCTGTGGCGAGCAGTGTGACTCTGCTCAAAATATAATACAGAATTTCTATATAATTCAGCAATTCCATATCTGGGAATACACCCAAAAGAACTGAAAGCAGGGTCTTGAACAGATGTCTGTACACCTATGTTCACAGCAACATTTTTCATAATATTAAAAAGGTGGGAGCCACCCAGCTGTCTACTGATGAATGAAGACACAAAATGTGGTCTTACACAGAAATGGAATATTACTCAGCCTCAAAAAAGGAAGAAGGTTCTGACACATGCTACAGCCTGGGTGAACCTTGAGGACTTTGAGCTGAGTAAAACAGCCAGTCACAAAAATGACAAATATTGTATTATTTCACTTACACGAGAGTGTCTAAGAATAGTCAAATTCATAGAGACGGAAGAGAGGGCGAGGGAATGGAAAAGTTAGTGTTTAATGGGTTTAGGGACTCAGCTGGGGAAGATAAAGTAGCTCTGGAGGTGGACAGTAGAGACAATAGGACAACAATGTCAACGTACTTAATGCCACAGGACGGTACACTTAAAAATGGCTGAAATGGTAAATTGTGTATTTTGCGTATTTTACCACCAAAAAAAGAAAAGAGTAACTATCACTTTTTCCACATCAAAAACCTATTTTTTTCATTCAAGCCCACAAAACTAACAATGCTGTGCTTTCAAATTAATGTGACTTCTCTGATACGTGATTTAAAAAATAAAATTAAGAATATAGTTAAACCAAAAAAAGAAGACAAAGAAGAAAAAAAGAATATATTTAAATACATTGGTCAAAGCAATATAAAAAAAATTAAAGTTTTACATAGGTTACCCTAGACTAAAGGCTTAAAAAAAAGAAAACAAAAGAAAATCCGAAAAGCTTAAAAAAAAAACAAAAAAGAAAATCCCAAAGGAAAAAAAAGCGAAAAATTTATATGGCATTTTAAATATTGTTAAATTCAAGAGTCAAAATATTAACAATGCTCAGAACTAATCAGATTTATAAACATACATACAAAAACGATTCATCTGGCCCTTTACCTACCTATGTCTGCAATAAAAAGTTCAAGAAATAGTAACAAAATATACATCAAGTGACTGGTGACAACGAACCACTTGAAACAATTTGGTGAGCAACAATTATTTGCCAAAAAAAAAAAAAGAAAAGAAAAGAAAAGAAAAGAAAGAGGTTGTGTATGTTGGTTATTTTTAACGTTCCCAGCCCCAGGTTTTCCGAATGGAAACAGCTTCCTGCAATCACCTTGAACATTTCCAGGAGGACATCCTTGCTGACTTCCAGCCTTTCAAAGGGCTGCTCTTCCTTGATGATCGCCTTACAGATGGTCTCCAGCGCCGAAAGCTCCGTGCTGGACACGACTCTGAAAAGCAGAGCGGGTGCGAATCCACACAGAGCCCTCCGACACCGGGCAGGCTCGCGGTGGGGACCCTGGCCCTGCGTGCGGCCTTTGCCACTCATCCACACGCTTCCTCGAAGGAGGGATTTGGTGATTTGTTGTGCCAGGGCTTCAGAAAGGCAAAAACATTCATCCAAAGGCAGATCGTCCCATTTCTCAGGGAGGAGAGAGGCATTAATGGATGGGATGATCTGCCCTCACTGTCTGCAACGAGGTGTGTTCTGCGCTATCTTCGTTATCCTTCACACGATTATATTTTGTACAAATAGAAAACCGTGGTCTCCAAGGCTGACCACGTTCCTGCGCTCACTGACCATGGGGTCTGGGGCGGGAGACAGCTGGGTGAGAGGGAAGTGCAGGGGCAGGGCGCCCACGTGGGCCATCGGCCCCCGCTAGGCATCGACTGACTTCCTTTCTCACTCGCTCCCTGCTTTACGCTCACCCTCTCCAGCCACGCTGGCTTCCTTGCCGTTCCTCAACCAAGCCACACACAATGCCCACACCCCAGCTTTCTCACAGAGCCTGGAATGTTCTTTCCCCAGATGCCCATTAATGTCCCCCCCGATAGCCTCAAGAGCTCGTCCCCTCTGTTTGCCCTGGTCCCGCTTCAATGTCACTTCCTGGCTCCTGACCACCCGTCAGAGCACGGACCTGCCATGAAAAACATGGCGCGTTTTCCTTCACAGCGCGCATCACCACCTGACAGGAGATGGCCGCCGGTTTACTGTCTGTCTCCCCCAACCAGACTGGTAGCTCCTCAAGGACCCACTGATCTGCTCACTGCTCCCTCACCGGCACCAAGCAGAGCACGTAGCAGGCAGTTAAAATTTTGTGGAATGAATCCTGGGGCGGGGGTAACAGCAGATGAAGCTGGACAAGCCTGTTGGCAGGAGCTAGAGAGGACTGAACGCTTGTTTAGGGAGATCGTTTAAGTGGCAGGAGATGACAGGGGAAGACAAAATGTACCGTAGTTGTCCCGGCAAGAGATGTTATGCATTAAGGCAGGAGCAGAGAGGAGAGGTGGGTGGGAGAACTGTGTAGGAGGTCAAACGGCAGAACTGGAGTGAGGACTGGGTGCTAGGGTGGTAGAAGGGACCCTCAGACTTCAGTTTTGGCAGCTGGCGGTACCCTGGAGAACTACATATGAGGAATCCAGGGGAAGAGGGGGCTGGGCCTGTTGCTAAGACACAGATCTGCCGAAGGCGAGGCCTCTGTGAAGTGCCCTGTCTGATATTCATCTGCGGGAGATGTCTGCCCGAGGGGGACACGCCCTCAGTTATCACGGAGAAAACCTGAACTGTTTTCTAGTGGTGAACCTTGAGATTCTGGTCTTCACGAGTACCCTGTCAAGCCCCAGATTAGATAAACAGCACATCACTTCCTTTGAGGAAAAGAAAAAAAAAAACATCTGAGAAGCTACCCTTGACTCTAAACTCTAATTAAAATTTTTTTTTAAATGGCTAACCCATCTATAATTGTATTCTGTAACAGACACAGTCCCTAAACTAATAAGGGGCCATGATAAAACAAGGAGCTAAAAATGCGTGCATTCAGAAGGGACTATTGAGGGGCATTACCCGTCTTCAATGAACATGTCGTAATAAAAGCCATTCTCGGTGGGCGGACCGTAACCCAAGAGGCCTCCGTAGTAGAGCTCCATGGCCTCCCCGAGGACGTGGGCACTGGAGTGCCAATACACCTGCAGGCACAGGACACAGGCCACCGGCCGTCAGCGCGAGAGCGTGGAGAAGGGCGAGCAAGTTAACGAGTGGATGTGTTCTAAGGGGATAAACACCAGGACATGAGGCAACATCTGCTTGGAAAGATAACGTCTGATGCCCCCTGAGAAGAGACTGGATTTCTGAGCCTCTCCCCCTGCGGCTCCACCAGAGCCGTCTGCCTGCCTGTTTCTGGTGTAAAACTGCTGTCCTGAGCGAAGGCGGCCACTCGGAAACCTGGCCCAGCCCAGAGCAGAGCAAAGCCAGGGACTGACAGAGGCTGGTTCCCCTCCTTCTTGTCCAGGCGTAGCCTCTGAGCCAGGTGCGGAGACAGGCGGCCGCAGTGGCCACTCGCCATTGTCAACAGAACTTGGCATCCGCGTGGCAGTCTTCGTGCCCTGAACGGTGTGTGACTGACAACGCCTGAGAGATGGCGCTGGAGAAAAAGGTGTCGCCAGGGAATGAACGCTGCCTGGCTGCCTGAGACCCCCGAGCAGCGTACACAGGGGTTAGTGTATTGTAGGCGAAGGGCGGGTCATCAGATGGCAAGTTGAGGACTTTGATTTGGTTTTGAATTCCCAAGGAATCCGGGGGCTTAGGGACAAACGACAACTAACCAGTCACCCAATAAATATAGGCGCCAAAGGAATAAGATAATCAAGACTGTTCCCATAAAAGGAAACAAATTCTGATTAGAAAGTTGTTTGATAAAACAAATCAGAGCAGAGGGAGTGAGCCGAGACCATGTACCACCCCGGCCCAGGGCAGCGGCCGGGACGTGATCTGCAAACAGACCCACATGGTCAGTCCTGGGGGCAGAGCCCTCTGCTCTGGTTGGTGCTGCGGTGACAGGCTAGCCACCTCTCTGATGCATTGTCCATGGTCAGATACCCGTTGGGCGAACAGTGTGTTAGGGATACAAGACTGAAAGACAAAAAATCAAGGGCCTCAGGCAGTCGGGGAAGACAGGCAGGAAACAAAGTTGTCAGCACACAATCGCACACAGAGAGGAGTCCTTGGGAGAGGGACAGGGCACTGTAGGGACAGGCAGCAGTGAAGGCCCACCACCCACAGGCCTTGGGAAGGCCTGCGTGATTACCACACGGGGGACGGGGCAGAGTGACTTGAGAAAGGCTGGAGGGGGAAGAAAGGGCCAGCGACTAGTGTGGGGCCTTGGGGAAGAATTGGGATCTTATTCTAAACGCAATGGGACACATTACTGGGTTTCAGGCAGAAAAGGAATGCCTCAATTTACTTTTTCAAATGTCCTTCGGTAGCAGGACAGGAACAGATTTCTGGGAAGGGGACGGCAGGAGGCAGCTTTCTGGGCAGTGCTATAGCAGCACTGCTGTGGGCCCCTGGGCAGTGGCAGTGCGCACGGACCGAGGTGGTAGGACCCGACTGGCATTATGAAAGTAACGGCTGCCCAAGAAACGAGAGACTGCAGTTGAGGGGCAGGTAGTAGTCACGCACAACCTCCAAGATGCCGGGCTGAGCAACTGGGTATGAAGTCTGGGGTTAAAAATCAGGAATTTAACCCTGACGGGTGTGGCTCAGTGCATTGAGTGTTGGCCTGCAAAGCAAAAGGTCACCGGTTCGATTCCCACTCAGGGCACATGCCTAGGTTGCTGGCCAGGTCCCCAGGAGGGGGCGTGCGAGAGGCAACCACACATTGCTGTTTCCTTCTCTTTTTCCCTCCCTCCCCCTCTCTAAAAATAAATAATATAATAAAATCTCTTAAAAAATGTTTTTAAAAACTGAAGAATTTCACTGTGGACACACTGACCTGACGATTCCTGTACAACAATGTCTAGGTGGGGATTATCACGAGGGCAGCAGTGTACGCAAGACTGAGGCATGTGTAGCTACAGATGGCAGTCGCGACAGCTGACAGGTGGACAGGACAGCTCAGAACGGGAGTCGGAGGACAGAACGGGGCTGGGACCGAGCACAGGGGAGTTGTTAACATTTGGAGGTGGACGAAGAAGAAAAAGCCAGCAAGGAAGACTGAGAAAGAATCATCAGGGGTTTGCGAAAGAGAATCTTAAAAGAAGGGAGTAGCTCACGGTCAACTCAGCGGAGAGCACACAGGACAGGGGGAGGGGGAGACATGGAAAACAGAGGAACGCCAGACTCGGGCCACTAGCCACGGGGAGAGGCCACGGACCACGACCCAAGCATATCGCAGAACGAGCAGCTTCGGCTCCTATGTCAGTTTGCTTGTGTGGCTGGCACCTCCAAGTATGTACCTTCGGTTTTCTCAAGCGTGAGATCACAGCTGTTCCACTGACAGCTCCTGGCATTTCACCGTAGATTTAAAGTAGAATGTGTGCCTGCGTATAGCCTGTTGCTGAACATTAAAAAAGGGAATGGCTACTCTATTTTAAACTTCAAAGCTGTGTCACTATAAAATGCCCCTTGTTTCTCATGTGCGTTATTTGTCACTTTGCAAGAACATTTTTTTTTTTTTGTCATTTTGTACGTGAATTTATCTAACAGGCAGTACTTCTTTTGTATGATGCCTTATGCATTAACTATTTTTATAAGTAGGGTCATCTTTTAAAATGGAAGTCTAAGAGTTTGCTATATAAAGGACATGCATTTTTCAGTAAAGCAGAAAATGTTTTTACCAAATCATTAATTTACCATTTTGGAGGTCTGAGCTTTCTAGATTTGTGTTTCTGTAGTTTCTTTCTCATGGACATGCACTCATTCATAAACTGACTGATGTTCAAAATCTTGTTAATATGTTCGTAACAGGAAAATAGAATCCAGGAACAACAATAGTCTTTGTTGCTAAGTTACACTAAAGGAAGCATCAGGGTCTTGGAAAAGCTACTTAACCATTCTGAGCCCTGGTGGCTTCATCTGTAAAATGAGAATTGAAACAGTACCTATGTGGCCCTGGCTGGTGTGGTTCAGTGGATTGAGTGCCAGCCTGTGAATCAAAGGCTCGCGGGTTCAATTCCCACTCAGGGCACATGCCTGGGTTGTGGACCAGGCCCCCAGTAGGGGGCGCGCAAGAGGCAATCACACACTGATGTTTCTCTCCCTCTCTTTCTCCCTTCCTCCCCCTCTCAATTAAAAAAAACAAAAACAAAATAGTATCTATGCGGCAGGTACCTGGGACTTGAGGAGACAATGCACAGCAGAGGCTGAGGGCAGTACCTGGTACGCAAGGAGCCTTCGCTAAATGTTTACTGTCACTTTCATGGACGGCCACACATACTTATGGAAGCCCTACAGTGCAAAGCCAGGTACCCTGTCGGAGCCATGGCATGCCAGTGCGCTCCTCTGGAGATTCCCCAGGAGAAGCAATGTGCCCCTTTTCATGACATCACTGGATGCAAAGAGGGAAGAACTCCAAAGATGCCAACACCTCCATGGAACATTAAACTTGGCAGACTCCCCCACCCCCCAAACTCCTGACAGACTCAAAGAGTTCAGGAGCCACCGTTAAAGGAGAGTCAAGGAAAGGAGGGAACGGAACGATGCCCGCAGGTAAGCCAAGAGCTGGCCAGCACCACCAAGTGCAAGGCTGGCTGCTGCCCCAGGAGGGGGTCCCCACATAACTGCCACGCCTGCGCTCGGTTCCAGCTCCGACTGGACTTTCTCCACAAACCAACACTATCTGAAAGCACCTAGCTGTTTGTTTTCTTGTTTTTGCTGCCTCCTCCCACTGGGTGCCATCGCTCCCAGGTGGGGGCCTCCATGCTTTGTCCACTGCGGCCCTGCAGGCTCTAGCACGTGCACCCGGCGCCTTGGATACTGGTCAGCTGACTGAGGGAATAAATAAAACTTTACAACATCTGGGATGCAGTTAGGCGACAGTTGCTAAGGACTACAGAGAAAAACCAAGTAATACAAATAAGCTATTTACGTCCCTTAAAAATTGCTTTCTGAATCACTTTTGAAAATGGCTTTGTTAATAATGTATTAGTTAGTGATTATACTATGCATAATTTAAAGAGGAAGTCGTTATAATATCATTCTGATAATTTGGATTAATAAATCAAGAAAGTTAGCGTAAGTATCATAGTTAACGTAACTTTAGCTAATCATAGGTTAGGTTTAGGCAGATAATAGACTACTTGAAGGGAGAACTCAAAGTTAAGCTAACAATGTTTATCAGAGATCTACATGAAAATGCGGAGTCTATTTTAGATCATTATTACATTAATAATTAAAGGATATTTGAGTCTTGATAATTTTTTTCAACTCTCCTACACATATTAAATTATAAAGTAGATCCATTTTTAAGTCTATTTAAATTCATTTCAAATACACTTTAATAATTATAGCATTCTAACTTAAGGAAAAAATTACTTTGAGAAATGGTAAATACAGGCTACTTTAAAAAACCTGATATATTTGTATATATTCATTCCATAAAAACTTATTAAATACTTGTTGAACAGCAAAAATACATTTTAAACCTTAGAGGACCACAAAACTCATCATTCTTGACTTCAACAGGTGGCTTCGTATGTTATTTACAACAAAAATACCCACAGTTTGCTTGTTGGTTGTTCCATACTTACAGCTTGAGCTTCCTCATTATCAAACGTCAGCAGCTCTAGAGTGGAATCCCCTTCCAGTGGACGGTCCAAGTCCCATAATTCACCATTGACTTTGGCTATTACTGTGTTTTCAGCCAGTTCTTGACTAGTGAGAGAAAAGTCACTTGGCAGTTAACCTTACCCCAAGCTATAATGATTCGCTAAAGCAAAAGATTAAAATAATGTCGGGGGGCTGGTTTTTTTGTTTTTGGGGTTTTTTTTTAAAGCAGATAGAAAGTACAAATGCAAACTACTGGGACAGACTGTTTTTATTTTGTAACATTTATTTTAAGTACAAGAGGAATATATGTTCACTGTGAAGAACTCGGAAAACAGAGAAAGAATAAAGATCACATATACATCTTACCGCCCAGAAATAACTACTCACAACATTTTGGCACATACCCATCCCTCCTTTACACACAAACACACACACACACACACACACACACACAGACTTTTTTAAAAACACAGTTGCCATGGTAATTTTATAGCAATTTTATAGACTGTTTTTTCACAACCATGCCACCAGACAGACTTCCAACAGAGTCTAGAAGCAACACAGTCATTAAGAAAGCTTCGCCCTGGCTGGTGTGGCTCAGTGGATTGAGTACCGGCCTGTGAACCAAAGAGTCGTTGTTTCCCAGTCAGGGCACATGCCTGGGTTGTGGGCCAGGTACCCAGTAGAGGGCGCTCGAGAGGCAACCACACATTAATGTTAAAAGAGCAAGCAAGCAAGGAAGCTTCCACCCCTGCAGACACCTCTGCATGGGCAGATTTGTGGCTTCTGTAACCATTTTCTGGGACAAGCCTGTGGACGTGGGTGGAATTTGCTAGGTCAAAGGACATGTGCTGCTGAAAGGCTTCTGATCCAGACGGTCTGAGTATACCACTTCCACACATCTTAGAAGATTTTTTAAATCTTTGTCAATGTCATGTTGGAAACTGTTGTTTTAATTTATTTGATCAACTTAAATAAATGTTTACTGGCCATTTTTACTTTTATGAGCTGCCCATGTCCTTTGCCTGTTTTCTATCAAGATGTTAATCTTTTTCGTGTCTTTTAAGTAAAAATTACTGTTGTTTAAAAATTGACAAAAGATAACATGTTAGGAGAAGAAACTTGGAGAGCAGAGAAAAGCATGAAGAACATCACCCTCAATTACCACCCCAAAAATAACTAGATGTCCTTCTACATTTTTTGATCAATTACATACACCAATACAAACTTCCCTTCAGCAGTAGCATTCAGTGTGTTCTTTGGGAACCTACTTTTTAAATTTAAAATAAGTCACATTTTCCCCAACAGTAGACAGACTTGTAAACATGCTCCTTAAGGAGCTGGGAGTGAGTAACAAAAACCAAACACTTGACTGGCTTAGCAGACTGAGGGTGGGTTTTAAGGAAAGAGATATGAAGGTATGGAAAGCCAGTAACTCTGGCTATGGCCTCCCAAAATACTGGACAAAATCCACAAGCAAACTAATGTGCTTCCATACCTGCCGCATAAGAGGCAGCGGCTCTGAAAAGGCAAGATGCTGGTGTGCAATGGATAATGACTGTGGCCTTTAGCAAAACACCACCACACTGAGACAGGCTCAGACGAGGCTTGCCCAGTGTGCAAGCAGAGATGGAAGGGAAGGCACTTCACCGAGGGAGGCGCTCTCTGCCTGTGACCAATCATCCAAACTAAAGTGCAGAAATGTGAAGCTGTCAAAGATCGGAAAAAGTCTTTGGTCCCAAACAGCAGGAGGGACAGGCACAGACAGCCCTCCTCAAAGGCCCCGCACAAAGGCAGACTACAAAGACTGGAGTGAGGGTCCCGCCCTCTCACAGCCTCTTTCTTCCTATTATCTCAGTCCATTAAATTGAGAGAGAGAGGGGAAGGAGCCAAGTACAAAAGCCAGGGAATTAAAGAGTGAGAGGTCTCTGTCTCGGAGAGTTCTTTAAGTGAGATTACCTTCACTGGATCAGACTGGAAGCCAAGAGACCAGGAGCCCACTACAGTTAACTCCTTGGGAGAATTGTATTGCCAGACCAGCTACAAGCCCGGCTTATGATACCTCTGACTGCTCGATCCTTAAAGGAGCCTTAAGCTCCCCAGAATGCACCAGCAAGAACAGGGCTATGCAAATTGTACAGCTGCCAGATGGACGAACAGCCCCACAGATGTGGTGAACGAGTGGGAGGAACAGCTATGACCTCCCAAGGAGCAACAACAGGGCCACAGAGGACAGCACAAGAGAGCTGCTCCCAGGGAACAGAGGGTGGCAAGGCAGTGGGACAGGCGCTACGGATCTGATGGCATCTGCACACCACTGTCTGCTGAACTGTCCCTTTTTTCCAGACCCTTTCATTGTGACTGCCTTGTGATTATTCCACCATTGTATATGCTTGTGGCGTGGGCAGCCTTGTCTGTTAATTTGTTGCTGAAGTGCAAGGAGCCAGCCCGATGGGGGCGCTGTGCACATCACTGTAGTCCCCACGTCTCTCTTACAGGGTCATGGTTCAAACACGTATAATCTTAGAATTTTGCCTATGATCTGTCAACTCAGAAAAGCTCATTAGAGCCTACTGCTCTTGGGCTTCTGTGTTTCTTATTGGTCGGTTAACTCATACAGGGCCGTGACAAATAACCAGTGTGTTGATCTATTGTTAAAGTAAGTCTCACTATCTCATCTTGTGATTCCGGCCCTGAATTCTGCTGTCTGATAGTAAAATGATGGCCACCGCTTTGCCCATTCTTTTGTCCTGAACAGCGTTATTTTTTAAAGCTTTCCTGCAGCCCCCCTTTATGGCTCTTTACCAGTGAACGTAAAATTATTTTTGCCTCAAAACCTATTTTTCTCTAGCACATCCATCCGTCTCTCCTGGAAAATACGGCAGTCAGGAGGGAGCAGCCTTTAGGGTATATGATATGATAGGCTCAAAAAGAAATACAATCGTGACCACGGCTTTCAAAGGAAATCGGTGGATTTCCATTGTTGCACAGTTTGCTGTTAAAATAGCAGGTGTTTATTTACATGGCAGTTTTGAGCAGCGGCTTCTATAGAACTGTATTCAATGCTACAAATTAACATTAGTCAAAACAACATCACTTCACTAAGGTATTTAAATTCCAGGAAGGCCAAAGTACTTCAGGCGTATAATAGCCCTAACACAAGTATCTTCAATTATAATTAGTACGCCTGTTGTACATTTCTGGAAATACTTTAATTTTCACATACACTATTTCACTGAATATTTACAACCTCACAAGGTAAATGGGGAAAGTATCATTATTTCCACTGAAGATGTAAGAAAACCAGCTTGGACAGCTTTCAGGATCTGCCCAAGTTGGTTCATAGACTACTCACAGTTAATTACTGGTGGAACAAGGGCTTAAAGTTTCCTGACCCTAGTCCAGCAAAAGACCTTTTAAAACTCATGATATCTTGATAATGAACAAAATCAATGTAATGTGGACTGTCGCGGACTATATGTTTCTCTCTACTATATACTTTTACCAAACCTTTAAAATTTGGATGTTCTAAGAGGCTGAAATCGTGTTCTGAAATTCTGAGATTGATTACTTATTTAAATGGCCTCATTAGAAGCCAGAGGGGGAAAAAATTAACTGATCCCATTTAACTTATTCAATGAGTAAGAAAAAAAAAAGATTTTAGTATTCCCCAAGAACACCACGTTTTCAACAAGCTCTGGCACAATACTTAATACTGAATATCTTCTCCGAACTATGGTTTACCTAATATCAGCAGCCACTTGGTAAGGTGTTGTTTTCCAAACTTCCCCTTCCACTGTTTTCCCATCAGCCACTTTTACTTTGATCACATTGGTTGCATTCCCCCTTTTTTCACAAATGGCAAACAACACCCGATGATCCTTCTCCAACGATTCAAAAAACTTCCATCGATCCTTCATGAAATGTGGTTGATTTTTCAGCTGAAAATCATTAGAGGACACTCAAGTTAACATGCACAGTCCACTTTTTTTCCTAACTGCCTCAGCATTAAATAAGCCCCCCCCTTCCCAGCACACCCCGGTCATTGCCTTGCCAGCTCCCATCCCTCCACGTCCCCTCTTGCCTCCTTCTCAGCTCTCAGGGCCCAGCTGGCAGCCCAGGCCCTCTCGCTGCCACCCCCACGGGCACCTCCCTTTTCCACATGTTTAACGCACATGGATGACGAGTTGCATAATTCAATGCTTATTTACAGACCGTCTTACTTTGCTCTCTAGCTCTTCCTCCTGTTTTTGTCTGACCTCCGCAACCAGACTAAGCCCTTGAAGGGCATGCAGCCCTCCTACCAAATGCTGGTATCGAGAAATACTATCTGGCTGTTTTAACGATTGGTATAAAAAAGCAAAGTAGCCCATTTACTGAGCACAAAGGAAGAGCTCTACTGTCTCGACTTATACAGACCAAGGGGCAGTTGACAGCTGCGTGGCTACCTCGTCTCTTTAAGTTCAGACGTCTTGAATATAAGGAAAGCAAAGTTTTAAATATCCTACTGTGCCCCAAATGGCCACTTCATTACTAATTATGTTTTAATGGAAAAACCAGAGGTATTCATTAAATGAGCGTAGTTCAACGACAGGTAGTCTTTTGTTTTATTTCCATAGCAACGACTTACCTCACTGTCAGGCTCCTTCTCCTCCTTCTTCTTCTTCTTTTTAATGTCCTTCTCTTGGCTTTGACTAGACGGAGGCTGAGAAATAAAGGGAAATTGTAAACAACTCATACCAATGGCAAGACGGCGCAACAGGTCTGAAACCTGAGGAAGGAGGGGGACGGGCCAGGGAGCAGCAAGTGTCGCCTGTTCAGAGGGTCACAGCCGGGTTCTCCTGAGAACCACCTACGACCCCTAGTGGGCAATTTGTTTCCCAAGACTTGGTCCTTCCTGTCCGTGCGTTTTCATACATTCTTGCTCGGAACGGCAATACATTCGAATGTATTAAATATATTTTAAGGTCACTGGAAAATGGTTAGGTAGCTGCCACCAGAGACCTGAATCGCCTTATTTTATGATATATATATATTTTTTTTACCATTGTTTTCCTTGGTAAAGAACTGAAAAGAGCCCACGGTCTAAAACAAAGCCTTCAGAACTTAGGAAATTTATTACGTTACAGGAAGAAAATTTGTCCTACAACGAACTGAAACACTAAAATCCTGTATTAAATAATGATGTTAAATATTCAGACCTCAAGACGACAAAAATCCCGACAACCACCTGTTCTAAATAGCTCAGAGCCGCCATCATTAGAGGAAATGTTCACCTACGCACTTGTTGATCTTCCTGCCCAAGGAAAGCTCTGAGCTTTAAAAAGGCCAGTATTTTTTTTTTCCAAAGGGAGGAAAATGCTATTTCTGCTACTGAAAAAAATGTGCGCCAGCAATTTAACGAAAAAGCTGAGCAACTGCATCATGACGTCAGTCTGGCGATTGCTGCAAAGGCAGGGGCCCCTTGGTGTCCAGGCCACTCCGCGGTTCCCCCAGAGGGAAGAGGAGAGCAGGGCACGCCCGCGGGGTCTGGACGGGACCGGGCCCACACCCCCCACGGCGCCGCCAGCACCGGCACCTGTCAACCCAGAGAAAAATGAAGTGCGTGCACGTCGCGGGCCGCGGCGCCGCCCGAGGCCTAGGTGGCGCCCTACCGCGTCCCCCGCAAGGAGTCCCGGCGTCCCGCTACCTGCTCGCCAGGAGCCGCGCGCCCAGCCTCCTCCTGCGCTGCCGGCGCCGCCGCCGCCGCCGCCGCCGCTGCCGCCCTCTCCAGCTTCTCCCGGTGGCTCAGCTCCTCGGTGAGGCACACCCGCAGGCGGTGCAGGCGGTAGCGCAGGTCGCGGTTCTCGGCCCGGAGCTGCGCCACCTCCCGCGTGAGGCATGGCCCCTCCGCCTCGCACCGGTCGGGCGCGTTCGTCAGCTCTTCCCTCAGGCGCAGGACCTCTGCCCACAGCCAGGTGATGTCCTCCTCCTGCCGCTGCAGGCGCGAAACCACCGCCTCCGCGGCCAGGGCCTCAGACGCCATGGCACCCGCTTTCCTCGGCAAGCGACGCTGCGCTTGACGGTAGGTAGTGGCGGCGGCCGCGCGTACGGTCTAGGCAGCAACTGGACACGCACTGCGGAGCTGCGGGCGCGGGGAGAGGTGTCTCCGCGGTTACGCACACGGCAGGGGCGGGGCCAGAGGGAGGCGGGGCGACGGCGAAGAGAGGCTGCGGTTACTTTCACTGCAGAGGCGGAGCTATGGGGAAGCGGGGCTGCGGTTACTTTCACTGCAGGGGCGGGGCCATGGGGAGGCGAATGGCTTACTTACACTGCAGGGGCGGGGCTACAGGGAGGCGGGGCGACGGGGCGAGGCGGGACTGCGGTTTCGTATACTGCAGGGGCGGGGCAATGAGCACCGAGGAGGCGGGGCGACGGGGCTTGCTCCCTGCAGGGGGCGGGGCCGAGGCTGGGCGCACTCTAGGAGGAGTCCCGCGGTGGCTCCTCCAGGAAAGTGATGAGGATCCTGAATAAGCTCTAGGTACTTTCAAGGCTATGAACTTGTCTCCATTCGTCGGTTGAAACGCAAATTGTCCAAAATCTTGTGAAGGCTGACATTTCCCGTCGCAGTGTGGCGCTTGTATTAACCCTCCCGAATTGTGGCTTTCACTACTCTTGCAATTGACATCAAGGTTGGTAGGAATGGTCATTGAGAAGCACCCTCTTCGGCCTTCATGCTGAGGCTGGCCAAGAGCAGGGGCTGCTGAGCCAGGCTGCGTAGAAGAGCTGGACAAAAATTTAAATCTGACTGGCCCTTGCTAGTTCTTCGAGGCTAGGGCAAATGCCACCCGCACACATCTTTGGCATCCTTCATAACCACGAGCATTCCTGTAGAGGGAACGAAAAATGATGTTTATTAATATTCTTAGGGATTAGAATGTGGCAAACTTAGAATGTTCTAAGCTCTTTACAAATATTAACTGTCATACTTATAACAGGAGATACTCTCATACCCGTTTGTAGATGGAGACACTGGAGCACAGAGACGCTAAGCGACTGGACTATGAAGTCACACAGCCACTGTGTCACAGAGCTGAGATTCAACTCAGGGGCCAGTGTCTCTGCGCTTAACACTATAGTGCCTTTCAACTTTGGTAAAATTGAATTGGACGTGTCATATAATGAGGTATAGTTAATAAATACCGTTGGAGTTACAAAGCTATTTGCACTAAGGGAACTGGAATCACGAACAGCTCCCAGGAGGCGGTTCCATAAAGTATGGCACTAAAACCACTTCATCTTTCCCATGTCCTTCCCTGGTAAGCTTCTGGACAGTTACACAGACTCAGTCACTTCTCAACCTTCTGTCACCTGATTTCTACTCCTCCCATTCTGCAGTGACCTTTGTATTGTCAAATGCTGTGACCCCACAGAGGTGCCCCACAAGTTTCCCCTGGCTCCTTGGCAGTTTGTCTTTCTTGGGCCCCCACCCCCAATCTCCAAACAACCATGATCTGCTTTCTGTCACTATGAGTGAGTTTTCATTTCCTAGAAATTTCTGCAAGTGAAATCATACACATTTACTTCTTTTGCCTGGCTTTATTCCCTTCGCGTAATAATTTTGAGCTCTAACCATGCTGTTGGGGGTATAACAAAACCGACTTTACCGTAGGCTAATTGGTACAAAGAATTCAGTTCCGATGGCATCTCTTCAATGTTGTGGAAAAATGATGCTGAATGAAATGATGTTACTTGAGGACCTGCTGTACATTCTGTTCAACTTTGCTGCGAACCTAAAACTGCTCTGAAAAAAAAGTCTGTGAAGAAAAAAAAAAGAGCCCTGGCTGGGTTGTGGGCCGGGTCCCCAGTTGGGGGTGTGCGAGAGGCAACCTATGGACGTTTATTTCCCACATCGATGTTTCCTCTCTTCCTTCACTTCTCCAAAAAAATAAATGAAATCTTTAAAAATATATATGACCTGAAATACCACAAAATACCACAAGGTGGCACCATTTCCTTCAGAATTTTCGATGTGCGGCCCAATGACCTAGGGCTGGCGCTGAGGGAAACAGTGCGGATTTTGGAACTGCGCGCCCAGTTCTTCACGAGGCTCAATATTGTGGCACAATATTGTCACAGCCCTGCCCCAGATGTGTACTTTCAATGGACGTTTTACAACGTAGGTTTATTGGTCTGCCTCTATGTTGAGGCCAACAGATGGGGCGACCACTGCTATGATTGTTATTCCTAGTTCCCAAGAGGAGGGGGCGCAGGAAATGGTTTTTATTTCTGTTTCCGTGGGAAGAAACCGGCAACGCAGGGTAAGCGGGCCTAAGATTGGCTCGTTTGCACATGGGCGGTCTCTGGGGTCTCAGGGCTGCCCATAGCTACCTGGTCCCTGACCGTGGGGTGATTCTAGCCGGCGGATGATGACCTGGAGTGAGAGACCCCAACAAGGGGTTGTTGGGGGGTAGGCTCTGGATTGGTGGGTTTGCACATGAAAATCACACTTCCAGGTGAGTCCTTTGCTATCTCCAGGAATTGGCGTCAAGATGTCAAAACACCGGAAACACACATTTCCTACCATGGCCTATGATGGTCTCAAGTTTTTTCTCGCGGTCTCACACGAAGTGAGAAGCAAAGGCAGGACAAGTCTTTTCTCCCTGTTACCACGACCCGACCACCCCAAGGGAGTTTTGATTTCTGAAGAATACATCTTCCACCCAAAGGTGGTAGAAAAATATCTAATGGTTTGTATAAACCGAACAGGCGAGAGTATTTCAATAACCACAGATCTTTTAAATGTTAATTTCCTCACTGGAAAAAAGACATATCTGGACCCTGTTAAATCGTTCCTGTCTACCCGCACATGCTCTCTGGGCGGCTCTTAGAGAGATGACGCCTATGATGGGGGCGACAGAAGGACCCCAACGCCCTAAGTCAGTCACGTAGCACATGGAGAGGAATGGGACAGGGAGTATCTGGGGGGCGAGAACTGGCCGCCTGCAGACCCAGCCATGGAGTGTCCCGAGGTTACGCCAGGGCCTGGGGCGTCCCGGGCAGAGGGCACATGCAGGCTGGTTTGGAGCAATCGTGTTATATTCACGCGATCCACGGTGAGGCGTTGCTTGTAGCAGAGGCCTCCCCTGAGCCAGCAATAATCTCGCCTTCTAATCAGCTTCATTAAGCGGACACCAGGGCCAGGTCAGAGGAGAGGGGTCGGGTATGCAGCCGAATCGTGTAACCAGCACTGGTCCTGACTGGTGTGGCTCAGTGGGGTGGGTGTCCTCCTGCAAAGCAAAAGGTCACCGGTTCAGTTCCTAGTCAGGACACAGGCCTGGGGTATGGGTTCCGTCCCCAGGCGGGGCGTGTACAAGAGGCAACTGATCGATGTTTCTCTCCCTCTCTTTTCCCCTCCCTTCCCTTCTCTCTAAAAATAAATAAATAAAATCCCGAAATACAAAAAAACCTGAACACTGTTTTGCCACCCCACCCCCCTTGGCTACTTCCCCCCACCGTCTTTAGCTCTCCTGCAAGGTTGTGCCTCACTCCAAACCATGGTGGCAGGAAGAGACAGGGACACAGAGCCTGATCCGGTACAGCTCCCGACACTGCGTTTATAACATTGAACATCGTCATGGGGGGAAGGCCAGGAGGAGCCTGGGACAATCACCTGGGGATGAGAGGAAGAATTTCAACGTCTTGCGCCTCTCCTTCGTCTTTGGAAGCAAGGAGCTGATGAGTGCAGCGCAATCCTCTTAGGCCACGGCAGCCAACACCTTGGGTCTAATCCAGGCTCCCCGTCTCCCTGCAGATATTGCAGAAGGCGGGTGAGTCGGCCTCCAGGCGTCCATGTAGGGCCTGCGGAGCCCCCAAGCAGCACGGCCTGGAAGGGAGACCTTGCACCAGCTCTCCACAAGCCACGATGGTTGAGAGAGGGGCCAGGTCGTGGTTCTATGACTGTGAGTCCGCGACACAGAGAGAGAAGGAGAAGAGGAGCAGGCAGCTCGCGGAAATACCCGTGACTTATAAAGAGAAGATACTGAGGGAGTTCGATGTGAGCCGGGTGCTCCTGCCCTTGGTATGTGAGGGCGTGTTCTCCCTGAGGGAGTACCAGGAGGTCGTGTCTTGGGGCTGCTCTGGGAAGAGAGTGGAGTCTTTTCTTCTGAAGCTTTGCTCCAAAGGTCCAAGGGCTTTCTGTGCGTTTTGCTCTCATCTGGAGGAATTCTGCCCTTACCTGCTCACCTGCCTTTTTCTTTATTACCAAGGTAAGAAGCTCTTTGCTTTGAAAAGTTCCCGAAGGTCTAATCAAAATATCTGATGTCCCACCTGCAGTTATAATGAGCTTCACCACGGCATGGATTTTTATTTTAGGAAAAATATCCGATGCTTCTCTCTAAAATCTCATGATTCAGAAGTCAACATCGGGCTCTAGCTGGGTAGCTCATTTGGTTAGAGCGTCATTCCAATATACCTAGGCTGCGGGTTTGATCCCCAGCCAGGGCACATACACGAAGCAGCCAATGGATGCATGAATAAGTAAAACAACAGACTGATGTTTTTCTCTCTCTCCCTTCCTCTCTCTCTAAAGTCAATAAATAAAAAACTAAATAAATATTCTAAAAAAAGAAAGATGTAAATGTTAGTGATGCTGAATAAAACCTGAACCCCCAAGAAAACCTGAGGGACAATTTTAGTTATCTAATGGAAAAATGTGCACCTTTCTTATTTTAATGAGGACTTTTAAGTGCAAGGCATAAAATATTTAGGTTAAGAAAGTTGGACTTTGCCCTGGCTGGTGTGGCTCAGTGGACTGAGCATGGGCCTGTGAACCAAAGGGTCGCTGGTTCGACTCCCAGTCAGGGCACGTGCCTGGGTTGCAGGCCAGGTTCCCAGTAGGAGACATGTGAGAGGCAACCACACCTCAATGTTTCTCCCCCTCTCTTTCTCCCTCCCTTCTCCTCTGTCTAAAAATAAATAAATAAAATCTTTTTTAAAAAATTAAAAGAAAGAAAGAAAGTTGCACCAAGCCTTCATTCTACAGGTGAAAGCTCACAAATGATCATGGCTCCTTAGGATGTTAAGCGTTACCACGTGACCCAGCAATTCCACTCCTAGGGATATACCCAAAAGAAATGAAAACATATGTCCCCACAAAAACCTGTGAAAATATTCACGACAGCATTATTCATACCTAATAGCCAACAAGTCGAAACAACCCAAATGCTCATCAACGCATGAATGGATAGACAAAATGTGATTGCTCCATACAGTGGAATATTATTCTGCCATAAAAAGGGATGGAGACCCGATGCATACTACAACCTGGATGAACCTTGAAAATCTTATGCAAAAAGAGAGAAAGCAATCACAAAATACCACTGTGGCATGATTCCATTCATTGGAAATGTCCAGAACAGATAAATCCATGGAGACAGGCAGTAGATTAGTGGCTGCCAAGGGCCAGAAGTAGGGGGGACGGAGAGTGAGGATCACGGGGTCCAGGGACCTGAAATTAGATAATATGATTGTTGAGCGTGTCTAAGAATAGACTAAAAACCACTGAACCATGTTATTTGGATGGATTTTATGATATCTGCATTATATAGAATATATGTGCGCATTTTATATATGTGTGCATTCTATAGAATAAAGCTGTTATTTTCAAAAATCAGCACAGAAGCCTTCTCAGCTGCTTCTCCTTTCCTAGCCCTCCAGAGACAGCTCTGTAGTCAGTACCCCAATTTCCCAAACTCCCTCCTTAGAGAGAAAGGATTCTTTCCTGTTGAGAGGTTTGGGTTGGTCAATATAATTAAGGAATGAGGAGTGAGGGAACGTGAGGGGAGAGAAACAATGCAGAGCTGAATTGGGGGAGGGGGAGGGGGAAGCGATGGCAGCAGAGGTCCTGGGACAGGCATGGGAGTGATGGGGACAGAGGCAAAAGAAGGGGATCCCTGTTTGTAATGCTGTCACCTGCATACGTGGGTACCACCCACGTCTTTGAGAATGCAGGAAAAGATTGGACCTCGTCCGTAGCTGTGTTTGGTCGTTGGTCTTCATTTGCCCACAACGTTTCTCCGAGACCAAACCAGAAGGGTCCCTGCTTTACGCCGGTTACATGGATTTAAGATTTGCTTCAATGGGAAGACTATCCTTGGTTTCTAGGGCAGTTGTGAATGATAGTCTTGTCATAAGCCTTCCCATACCACAACCCCCATACTGTTCAGTCAAATGGTCTGTCTGCTAAAGAAGTCGAATAAGTGAAAATGCATATTTATAAATGGTTTCTTTTTTTTAAATCACTTTTTAAAAATGTACTTAGTGATAGGAGAGAGAGAAATCATTGATTTGTTGTTACATTTACTGATGTGCTCATTGGGTGCTTCTTGTATGTGCCCTCACCGGGGATCGAACCCGCAACCTTGTCATATTGGGACGATGCTCTAACCAACTGAGCTACCCAGCCAGGGCCTGATCCATTTTTCAATGAGCCAATGGATATTCATCTTAAAAAACATGAACTGAATAATATTCATCCTTCTGTATACAATTTGGAATAGCCAAATCTCCAGCAACGTGTAACTTTAGAGAAGAGGGAGAGGGGACGCGGCAGGTGAGCTTCTTGCCAGACCTGTGACAGCTGTTTATATTACAACGCAGAACAAACACACAGGCTCTTACGAGATGTGTCCACTGCAGAAGAAAAAGCGAGTGTTGGCCCTCTGCCCGAACCTAGCGGTGCCCTTAGGGCTGAAGGTCAAGAACAAAGTCTTCAATTATTTAACAAGTACGTGAACAACCCGTGCGTTGGCAGTCTTTGAAAAGCCCTAGTTTTCCTTTATGTTTTCTTTCTTCCCTTGTTCTCGGTTCACTGTGTCCTCTGACCATTTATACACTGTTTTGCTGATGCTGTGTCTTCTAAGTTGTTCCCAGGCCACTGGGGCACTTCTTGGTTTGTTCCACGGTGTAAAAAGAATGGTCCTTGGGCAGCGCATTTTGTCACAGGCACTTGGTGCTGTTGAAGTGTGTGCCTGACTGTCCCGAGTCTTTGTTCTTCGTCGGAGCCCCAAACAGGCTCAGTGAAAGTGTCTCAGATAACTGTGCGTGTCAGTAGTAGAATTCTAAAACCTGACAGGGATAAGACTTGTGCTGTGGTCCCCCTGCTGTGGCGTGTTCTGGAATTGCTCAAATATGGGTGGCCTTCATCTGCTCTTTCGGCTCCCAAATTACATGTTTTATGAGCTAGAATAAAACTTGAACTACCCTGGCCAGTGTGACTCAGTTGGTCGGAGCATCGTCCCGTAAACCGAAAGGTCGCTGGTTCGATTCCTGATCAGGGCACATGCCTAGGCTGTGGGTTCGATCCCCAGTCGGGGTGCATATGAGAGGCAACCGATCAATGTTTCTCTCCCTCTCTGTCTCCCTCCCTTCCCCTCTCTCTAAAATCAATAAGCACGTCCTCTGATGAGGAAAACAAACAAACAAACAAACTTGAACTGTGGTCGCCTTCGTGGCCATTTCTTTCAGGCGCAGACTCTCTAACAGGAAGGATCTGAATAAACCGAGAACCATCCCAATGGTTCCCACTCCCTTTAATGTCCTTCCCACCTCTAAAAGGCACAGAAAATGCACACCATCAGTTCTCTTTAATTTGCTTATGGTTTGCTTAGATATAAGTTACGATAATTAGTAAATATGGTAGAAAAGCGTATGGCCAACGTTTAGTGTTTTTAATTAGCGTATATATTGATTTTGCCATTTGTCAGGCTTATTTATTTAAATGTGTACTTGGGGCCCCATTACCAGAGTCTGTTTGTTTCGAAAGCACGCAGCCTGCTCTCTGTCCTTTTTCTGACTGCGTGGAGAGCCACGGAGCCTCGGGGCAAAGCTCTCTGAGGTCCCCGAGCCTGGCCTGGGTGGCCTTGGGTTCCTGCAATGGCAGGTCCTCCTGTAGGGTCAGGAGGCTGTCACCCTGGCTGGGGCCTGGCTGGAGGCTCAGGAATGAGCCTTCTGCATGGAGAGCGTGGTCTTCCGGAAACGCTGTTTACCTGGCTGAGGTCAGGTCCCCGTCGGTCACAGACCTTCCTGGGACAGGGTCCAACAGACACTACGAAGAGGCCCTTTCTGTTTCTTCTCCCCTTTTTCTTGTTGTTCTCAGTAGAGAAATGGAGACCTTCTCTTGTGCTGAAGAATTTCATATCACTATACGGAATAAATCATATTATGATAGTACATATGACGGTTTTCTTTATTTTTTATAAAGATTTTCTTTATTTATTTTTAGAGGGAGGGGGAAGGAGGGAGAGAAACATTGATGCGAGGGAGAAACATGGGTCAGGCTGCCTCTCACGCGCCCCACCAGGACCGAACCTGCAACCCAGGCATGTGCCCTGCTGACTGGGAATCGAACCAGCGGCCTTTTGCTTTGCTGGAGGACACCCAACCCACTGAGCCACACCAGTCAGCGCTGAAAGTGTTTGTTAAAGATTTGTTAATTCAGTAATCAGAATAGACACACTGTGAATTTTTAAAAAGTAATTTCTGGCCTAGACATTAACATTTGTTCTTCAGACCCTTTCTGGTTGAGGTATGACATCTAATAGATTAAATTGTTAGCTTTACCCATGCCAAGCAAATCAATGTCACGTTTATAAAGCAATACTTGGCCCTGGCCAGGCAGCTCCGTTGGTTAGAGTATCGTCCTGACGCACCAAGGTTGCAGGTTCAATCCCTGGCCAGGGCACATAAAAGAACCAACCAATGAATGTGTCAATACGTGGAACAACAAATTGATGTTTCTCTTTCTCCCTTTCTCTCTCTCTCCCTACCCTTCCTCTTGCTCTCTAAAAATAAGTAAATTAATTATTATTTTTTAAATATAAAAATACTTGAAGCAAGAAAAGGATAGATTCACATTGAATCTCGCCCATGTTTAAGCTAGAGTCAGACTCAAGTCTGAAAATGTGCTTATCATTAAAAATAATGGAAAACTGAGTGTAAGTGCCTTTTTATGTCTGCAGTTGATCCAAAAATCCCCAAATTACCTGTAACACTCTCAACGCTGCCCTCTAGTCATCATAGAACAAATGGTCCCTTTGAAAAGCGATTTTCTCCCCCTCCATTCGTCTCATTAAATGATGATACCTGTGTTCCAACAACACCTTTCAAGTTCAAGGTGTTTGTTTTCCAGGTTGCGTTTCCTGGAAGAGATGCACGAACTACAATTGTTCAGACTAAGAAAAAAACAAGGCAATATTCAATATTCTGTAGTATAACCCCAAGCGCATTGCTGTAGTTATTTTGAAAAACGTAAGCACAGTACTAGTTCAAGCTCCTAAAACACAACTTATCAAGAATCCATATGTGAGACCTAGGACCATTCAATAATTTCATATTAGGGCTTATGAGCTCCTAATGCTCTCTTTACCTATTATAACTCACTTTATCAAACAAATTGGGAATGATAAACGATACGTTCCCCCTTTCACCCTTTAGTAGTTTCTACTCACAGCGTGTGTGATTGATCTGGATTTGCCAGTCCCGGGCTAAGATAAACCACAATCCTTTCTTACCACAAAGCTGGAGATACATCACCGCTGGATGATACTATGTGGTAGTTATGAAATTGCACATTAGTTGAACTTGGCATTGACAGTAATTTTTTTTTTCTTCAAGGACTAAATTACCTTTAATGCATTCTTGCTATTCCCATTAGCGCTGTCTCCTTCTCTCCTCCCTTTAATTTGTTAAATCACCCCATTATCAAGGAATGACAACCTTCCATTCTTAACAAACTTGCCTACGTCCAGTCCTTGAGGTTCAAAAAATGAGGGCTTCCGAGAAATGACATTAATTCTCCATTTTCCTTTGCAATTACCTTCCAGCTTACTATCACAAAGGAATGCAAATCATGGTTTTTATGGCCAACTGAGCAATTAAAAGGACCAAAAAAAAAAAAACCCCATTAACAAAAACCCAAACTTTGCCATCCTTCATGATACATGTAGCAGACACCTGAAACTTCTGTTTATTTCCATTGCTAAGTCTTGCATGGAGAGAATGTTTTGGGGAGACGGGGTGAATTCAAGGGTGAGATTGTCCTTATCGCTGTGGCCAGCTCTGGTTCAAGCGGCCAGGCTCTGGTTAATGCCCTGTTTAATCAAAGCACTGCAGTTTCTGGCAGCTTCTCTGACAGACATTAGTACTAGGCTGTCACCCAAGAGGACACAGCGGTTTTCCTTCAGAGAGCATTTGAGGCCAGCTTCACTAGGTGCCACTCAATTTTTCCATATCTCATTGGAGAAAAAAGTTGCACATCATCATACGTGAAGGTTACTCGGGTGCTGGTTTGTCATGTGCGGTGATGGTTCCTCTCTTGCTGGTGGTCAGTGGGTAAGAGTGATGGTTGCCTGCGTCAGTTCAGCTTCCGGTAACTTCCTTAGAACTAATGTTTCCCCTCCCTCCATCCCAGCATTTGAATGACCCACATGAGGTCAGACAGCAAAAATAATCTAGATAGAATATAGATGCAATCTCTAAAGCACAATGTATTTAGACTCTATAGAGGAACTACTTGAATGGGTAAACCCCAATATTAAATAGCGAAAAAGTGGAAGTTTATACCTATTTTTAAAAAATTTTATGTATTTATCTTTAGACAGAAGGGAAGGGCGGGAGAAAGAGAGGGAGAGAAACATTGATGTGCAACTCAGTTGCCTCTCACACGCCCCAAACTAGGGACCCGCCCCACAACCCAGGCATGTGACCTGACTGGGAATCGAACTGGTGACCTTTCAGTTCACAGGCCGGCACTCAATCCACTGAGCCACACCAGCCAGGGATATACCTTTTTAAATAGTTCCTTCATAAAGGACACATCCCAGTTACAAGTGTTTAGTTGAGTACCTTGAGAAGGAATTCTTGGTACGTGTGTGTGTGTGTGTGTGTGTGTGTGTTTCTTAGTCCATTTGGGCTGTTATAACAAAATACCATAAACAACACAGCTCTGGAGGCTAAGAAGTCCAATACCATAGTGCTGGCCAACTTGGCGTCTGGTGAGACACGCTACCTAGTTCATGGATGGCTCTCTTCTCTCTGTGTCCTCACAGGACAGAAGGGGGTGGGGGAGCTCTGTGGGGTCCCCTTTACGAGGTCACTAATCCCATCACGAGAGCCCCACCCTCATGACCTAAGTTCCTTCTAAAGACCCCCCCTTCTAATACCATCACTGTGGGGGTTAGGGTTTCAACATAGGAATTTTGGGGGACACACACATTCAGACCATAGGAATAGATATATTACAGAATGTATAATTAAATGACTATATATTAAATGAAACCCTGGCTGGTGTGGCTCAGTGGCTTAAGTGCTGGTTGGCAAACCAAAGAGTCACCGATTCGATTCCCAGTCAGGACACATGTCTGGGTTGCAGGCCAGGTCTCCAGTAGGGGGTGCACGAGAGGCAACTGATTGATGTTTCTCTCCCTCCTTTCCCCTTTCTCTAGAAAATAAATATTATATTAAAAAACTGAAATCTTTTATAAAAGAATAATATCATGAGCCGCCGTGTACCAACATTCTGCCATTTCTGCTTCTGTAACTCCGCCCATTCCCTGACCTTCACTCATCATTAATTATTATTATTTTTTTGCTTTTACCAGAGGTAAAAATTACATATATCAAAATGATATCATGACAGAATTGGCTCTATGATTTTGACAAGGGCGTACGCTTATGTAACCCACTTGCTCTGCATCTCTTCCCAGGAGATCCTTCACCATCCAGAGG